CTTTACGTGATTGTCTCTCTCCTTTCAATTCAACGACCATGGTTTGCAGAAAACTTCAGAATAGGTGTGTTTATTGTCTTTAGCATTCGTGTCATTGAAGTTTGAGGACTTAACATTTTCTTTCGGGCACATAACTTTGCAACGTTTTCCTTGACAGGTAGGACATTTTGATTTCAAACGACACCTCTGGAAAAAATGGCCAAAACTTGTACAGGAATGACAACAAGCAGCATTTGCAACTTTTGTTTTCGTTCGACAAAAGTGAGTTTCAAGGCGTCTTTACATTGGTCAGAAAAATTCAATGCTTTGCAAAAAACACATCGTGGGGTTCCTTTACTAAACAATCCACCCATAAGTTCCGCACTTATTTGTACTTGAACAATAATAACTTATTATATAAACTCAAAATTTGTAAAATTATGATTATTCATTTTTTGTCAATTCGCCTTTCAACAGAAATTAGTAATGTTACTTTACCAAACTAGTAATATATTGTGAGAAGTTATTCAAGTACAAATGAGTGAATTGTTGCGGAACTTATGGGTGGACCTCTGCGGGACGAGCACAGCGAGTTCCGCAGCCATCTATTCATCAATATTTTGTTTAATTACGATAATAACCTGACTCAGTCAAATATGAGTTATTCTTATTATTAGTTTAAAAACTACATGTTTCAGGTGAATGTCTTATTTGAACAATTCAACAGTATATATTGGTAAGTAGATGGCTGCGGAACTCGCTGCGCTCGTCCCGCAGAGGTCCACCCATAACTTCCGCAACAATCCATTTCTTTGTACTTGAACAATAACTTATTATATAAAGTCAGAATTTGTAAGATTATCCACTTTTTGTCAATTCGCCTTTCAACAGAAATTAGCAATGTTAGTTTACCAAACTAGTAATATATTGTGACAAGTTATTCAAGTACAACTAAGTGAATTATTGCGGAACTTATGGGTGGACCTCTGCGGGACGAGCGCAGCGAGTTCCGCAGCCATCTATTCATCAATATGTTGATTAATTATGATATTAACCTGACTCACTCAAATATGAGTTATTCTTATTAGTTTAAAAACTACATGATTCAGGTGAATGTCTCATTTGAACAATTCAACAGTATATTATGTATATGGTGAGTAGATGGCTGCGGAACTCGCTGCGCTCGTCCCGCAGAGGTCCACCCATAATTTTAGCAACAAGCCATTGCTTTGAACTTGAACAATAACTTATTATATTAAGTCAGAATTTGTAAGATTATCCACTTTTTGTCAATTCGCCTTTCAACAGAAATTAGTAACGTTACTCTACCAAACTTAGTATATTGTGTCAAGTTATTCAAGTACAAATGAGTGAATTATTACGGAACTTATGGGTGGACATCTGCGGGACGAGCGCAGCGAGTTCCGCAGCCATCTATTCATCAATATGTTGTTTAATTACGATAATAACCTGACTCAGTCAAATATGAGTTATTCTTATTATTAATTTAAAAACTACATGTTTCAGATGAATGTCTTATTTGAACAATTCAACAGTATATATTGGTAAGTAGATGGCTGCGGAACTCGCTGCGCTCGTCCCGCAGAGGTCCACCCATAATTTTAGCAACAAGCCATTGCTTTGAACTTGAACAATAACTTATTATATTAAGTCAGAATTTGTAAGATTATCCACTTTTTGTCAATTCGCCTTTCAACAGAAATTAGCAATGTTACTTTACCAAACTAGTAATATATTGTGACAAGTTATTCAAGTACAACTAAGTGAATTATTGCGGAACTTATGGGTGGACCTCTGCGGGACGAGCGCAGCGAGTTCCGCAGCCATCTATTCATCAATATGTTGTTTAATTACGATAATAACCTGACTCAGTCAAATATGAGTTATTCTTATTATTAATTTAAAAACTACATGTTTCAGATGAATGTCTTATTTGAACAATTCAACAGTATATATTGGTAAGTAGATGGCTGCGGAACTCGCTGCGCTCGTCCCGCAGAGGTCCACCCATAACTTCCGCAACAATCCATTTCTTTGTACTTGAACAATAACTTATTATATAAAGTCAGAATTTGTAAGATTATCCACTTTTTGTCAATTCGCCTTTCAACAGAAATTAGCAATGTTACTTTACCAAACTAGTAATATATTATGACAAGTTATTCAAGTGCAACTAAGTGAATTATTGCGGAACTTATGGGTGGACCTCTGCGGGACGAGCGCAGCGAGTTCCGCAGCCATCTATTCATCAATATGTTGTTTAATTACGATATTAACCTGACTCACTCAAATATGAGTTATTCTTATTAGTTTAAAAACTACATGATTCAGGTGAATGTCTCATTTGAACAATTCAACAGTATATTATGTATATGGTGAGTAGATGGCTGCGGAACTCGCTGCGCTCGTCCCGCAGAGGTCCACCCATAATTTTAGCAACAATCCATTGCTTTGAACTTGAACAATAACTTATTATATTAAGTCAGAATTTGTAAGATTATCCTCTTTTTGTCAATTCGCCTTTCAACAGAAATTAGTAACGTTACTCTACCAAACTTAGTATATTGTGTCAAGTTATTCAAGTACAAATGAGTGAATTGTTACGGAACTTATGAGTGGACCTCTGCAGGACGAGCGCAGCGAGTTCCGCAGCCATCTATTCATCAATATGTTGTTTAATTACGATACTAACCTGACTCACTCAAATGTAAGTTATTCTCATTAGTTAAAAAACTACATGTTCCAGGTAAATGTCTTATTTGAACAATTCAACACTATATTAGTGAGTAGATGGCTGCGGAACTCGCTACGCTCGTCCCGTAGAAGTTCACCCATAAGTTCCGCAATAATCCACTTGTGTTGTATGTATTTACCACTCCACCTTCCTCCTTTTACAGGTAGAAAAAAGGTGTAAATGCAGAAGTTGTACAGTTTTGGCTGAATTTTTAGAAACCATGATTAGAAACAAAATTTGAATGTCAGAAATGTGAAATTTTGCATACTTCCAGCTTTTCTTAAATGAGATGCCCTATATTTCATTCTATATTCTTGAAGAGCACAATACCCTGATTCCAAAAATGTATAGTTTGTAAAAATACTATCTTACTATACTGTTTTTGTGAACCATTTTACCTGTTCAGGTGAAAGCTGCAGGTAAAATTTGAGGTAGGTACTTGGTTTCTTTTATAGTATTTTTAAAATTTTTAGAACCAAATATGTTGGAGCCGGTTCAACCAAATATAGACAAACTATATAGTTTTGGAATCGGAAAATTGTACTCTTCAAGAATATAAAACCAAATAATAAGGCATTCCATAGGTAGTGCATATTTATTACGAATATCTCATGTGTCTTAATCTTAATAAACTATTTCTCATAAGTAGTATTGGTGTTTGATTTTCTAGTGCAAGTTTTCATAGACTAATATACACAGTCTAATGATTTAATGATTTGAAAAAACGTAGTTAAAACAATTAATTGAGTATACCCTAATGGTTTACCCCTTTAACAAGGCAACTTATTTGTCTACTAATTTCTTCTGATATTTAGATTGGTAATCTACTGACAAATCAAAATATGACCTGGCAATACTGACAGGACAGTTGATACGATCCAATAGTATCATCCAAGTAACTTGGACCGTGTCTGTATCAATCTCTAGGTTGAGCTGCCAATCTTATACTTTGTCCAAGTTTTCATCCAAACACACTTGGACTGTGTCAACCAGAGGCTTTATATAGGGATTTTGAAGTATTTTCCTAGATTTAGAACCACCTATAGGCGATAATTTCTCAATTTCAAATCACTTTGTTAATGAAAATGTTTATAATAATATAAAATATTTATTGAAAATATACTTCTTGAATACTGGGAAGTAAACATTTTAACACAAACAAAGTAAATAATTAATGTTTCTACCTCGAAATTTTCTAATTCAATCAAGTTATTTTTAGTAATTCTGAGGCCTATAGACTTTGCAAAAAAAATCCTGCGAAAACAAAACGGTTGATTTTTTTTTTCTGCAACATAAGTAGGTAAATTGTCATGGGAGAATTGGTAAGTATTGCAGGAAATTGTATACTTTTTATTATTTATAGTTGATGAGTTAACATTTTGCTTATGACGCAAAAATACTTGTGATTATTTCACATACACATTGATTTTGATTTATTAATTGGTGGGTGCCCATCGGAAAATTTCGAAAATTGATCGGTGTAAAACATGTGCCTCATTAATTTGGGTCACGATTATTTATAGCTCGCGTTTCTTTATATTAATAATTTACGAGTTTACATTTTTGTCTTTTATTTTTATGCTCTGCCGCCTGCCTGTTCCAAATTCTTTTTAATTCTCACACATTTGTAATTTTTATTAGCAAAACAAATTTCGCTCGGCAGTTAATAAATAACGTGTGGTTAAATGGTAGGTTTTTGAACTTTTCACAAAAATATTGTTTGAGGATAACAAAAACAATTCAACCTTTTTGAGAATTGAAATTTACTGCTGAAACATGTGGTCAGCAAACTGCAACTTAAACATGTTTAAAATGTTTTAAGGAGTGTTTTTTAACTGGAAACACACGTTTCCGGCAAATTGTTTTGCACATTTAGGTCATTAAAAACAGCGAGTACAAGTATATAATTATTGAGTAACAACAACAAAGTTGCTCTCTCTGACAAGCCTCATACTGTTGAGTAAATGGTAAATTTCACTTCTCGATAAATATCCGCTTTCTTCTATTTATAACATAAAGTACGCAAATTTAAACATAAAATGTACGCCTGATGGTTAAGTTTTTAATAGTTTTATTAGGCTTTTATAAACATAGAACGCCACAATGTGTACCTGATTAGTTTTCAAAGTTTATAGGTATTATAGATTCTGTTCTTTTTACCTGAATGTTGTATATTGCTTACCAACAAAAATATAGAATAACAAGTGTCCATGAAAAGTTTTACTGATTTGTCCAGCATTTTATTTATGAATCAATTCTCTTCCAGGTGCCAGTATAATAACCTGTAGAAAGTACCTACCCTTACAAAAGTTGGAGCCTTCCCTTAGGCTATTAATCTACCCTATAGGACTGGCAATCAGTGCTATCTTTCTAGCTGCTACTTTGGCAGCAGGATCGCTGTTACCAACAACCCATCACGTGCTACATTGGAGATGCCAAACCAATCATGTTGCTTGTTTGCTGGTGGGCGACGTTCTTCTGTGTATCACCCAAATTGGTGGGTCGAATTTCGACTATTGGCCTTGTCTTATCATTGGTAAGTGAATCTTTGTACATTATCTTAATCATTGAGAAATGTTCCAGTGAGGAAACTATAGTAAACTTTTGTCTTACCCATTGAAACTTTCAACAGGTAATATTTCTTTCCTTCCTTCGGTTATATGATAATAGTCCAGAGAAACTTTGCTTGATTGCTTTGGAATGAACTCAAAAATTTGGCATTCTCAGGAGTAGATAGTACTTACATATCAAACCAAAAAATGTGTGTGTTTGAAGATCGATTAGCTACAACATAATAGGTACCTATATGTGTCAGTGACAGTAGTTGAGATTAAATTCTGTAACAAAATCTCTCAAGAAAAAAATACAGAGTTTACATATTGAAAAGAATTAATAAGTGTCACAGACAAAAAGTTAACTGCCACATTCAAATTAACTAAATTAAATACTCCTACATAAATGTTGAATTGGCCGGACATGACTATACATCTTTTAAAAAAGTCCATAATCTTTCTACTTGTAAAAATGACACATACTTTAGTATAGACACAAAAGGACTCTTTGTAATGATGTAATCGTAAATTTTAAGTCTCCAAAGTGCAAAAACCCCATCGAACACAAATAGCATACTAATTCAATTTATTCGTTTAGGAAGCCGTAAACCCCTAATAATCCACCTTTAAGTACGCAATTAAAATTTCAATTTCTTGAAAAAAGGAGAACATCTATAAAAGCCTTATAAGAATGCAAGAATAAATTATGAATTAAAGCAGGTTGGCAGGTTGTCCTCATAACCCATGAGTATATAGTGACCGTCCTTGAGGCAGGAAATAAGAACGATGCATTGTTCTCAACAGGCAACGAATATGCTTATTTATTTATTATTATCGGTGGAATGTGTTTTAATAAAACGATGATTGCACTTTACAAGAAATGCTTGTGTATGGTTAATAATAAAACATTTTAAGAATGGCTTCAATAGAAATAATATGTAATTGCTATTGTGTTGTGCGACTATGATTAAGTTGAAGTGGCAACCTTGAGAATTTCTGTTATTATTGTGGAAAGTATACATTACAGAAATTCTTTTTGGACAGTTGCAGCAAAAGGACATAATTTTCTTCTTGAAAGTATTTTTTTGAATCATCACATCATTTACTTTTAAAACATCAATAGTTCATCGTTCCAAAACCCAAAACCTTCTTTACCTGAATCTTCAAGATCATTGGATTCTAGTGGATCTTTTGCAGTGTTGTCAGATGTCAAATTTAAAATTATCAGGATTTGAGAACAAAATTAGCAGATTCCAAGAAAAATTATCAGAAAAAGTTTCTGTCAACTATTTTGACTTTTTATCTCTATTTTCATTTTTCAGGTTCTAGCTGGGACTCTGGCAATTTTAGCTCTCAATAAAAGCTTCAAAAAAGGTTATTCAAGACTTCGAGCCCAAGAGCTTCATTTTCAAGATAATCGGCTTTGAAGCTTTTGCAAAATTTGGGACAAAGTTTTTACTTTGAGCCTCAATATCTTCAAAAGTATTTAAGATATAGAATTGGATCTTATTTTATCTTGAAGATAATTTAATGCTGATTCAGAATATATAATTTTACATTATATTTGTTACGATAATAACCGAGTAATCAACAATTTTGTGAAAGAATGTCAGATTATTGAAATTTTTTTGAGCCCAAAAATTGCAAAAATCGTTTTTATTTTTTAACAAGGCTTTAAAACCCAAAAAGGAAAGTTGCGAAAATGATTTTCCACTAATTTTAACCTCTTCTTTCGATTGGTGAAGTCAAAAATTCGAAAAACTGAAAATTTAAAAATTCGAACTTTTCCAAAGGGGTAGGTATGCATGCAAATTGGATTTTCAAATATTACAAATACTTGTATTTTGAAAACCAGTCAAGTTATTGGCATGAATCTTTTCCCCAATTGTAGCTCTTAATAAGGGCTACAAAAAAGGTTATTTAAGACTCTGAGCCCAAGGGCTTCGTTTTCAACATAATCCGCCTGAAAGCTTTTGCAAAATTTGAGATAAAGTTTCATCTTTGAGCCTTAATATCTTCAGAAGTATTTGAGATATAGAATTGAATCTTATTTTATCTTCAAGATAATTTAATTCTGATTCAGAATATATAATTTTATATTATATTTGTCACAATAATAACTCAGTAATCAGCAATTTTGTGAAAGTATGTCAGATTATTTAAATTTTTTTGAGCCCAAAAATTGCAAAAATCGTTTTTATTTATTAACAAGGCTTTAAAACCCAAAAAGGAAAGTTGCGAAAATGCTTTTCTACTAATTTTAACCACTTCTTTCGATTGGTGAAGTCAAAAATTCGAAAAACTGAAAATTTAAAAATTCGAACTTTTCCAAAGGGGTATGTATGCATTGAAATTTGATCTCCAAATATTTCAAAAGGTCATATTTTGGAAACCAGTGAAGTTATTGGCATGAATCTTTTGCCTAATTGTAGCTCTTAATAAGGGCTACAAAAAAGGTTATTTAAGACTCTGAGCCCAAGGGCTTCGTTTTCAACATAATCCGCCTGAAAGCTTTTGCAAAATTTGAGATAAAGTTTCAACTTTGAGCCTCAATATCTTCAGAAGTATTGGAGATATAGAATTGAATATTATTTTATCTTGAAGATAATTTAAGTCTGATTCAGAATATATAATTTTACATTATATTTGTCGCAATAATAACCGAGTAATCAGCAATTTTGTGAAAGAATGTCAGATTATTGAAATTTTTTTGAGCCCAAAAATTGCAAAAATCGTTTTTATTTATTAACAAGGCTTTAAAACCCAAAAAGGAAAGTTGCGAAAATGCTTTTCTACTAATTTTAACCACTTCTATCGATTGGTGAAGTCAAAAATTCGAAAAACTGAAAATTTAAAAATTCGAACTTTTCCAAAGGGGTATATGCAAGGAAATTTGATCTACAAATATTTCAAAGGGCCATATTTTGAAAACCAGTTAAGTTATTCGCATGAATCTTTTACCCAATTGTAGCTCTTAATAAGGGCTACAAAAAAGGTTATTTAAGACTCTGAGCCCAAGGGCTTCGTTTTCAACATAATCCGTCTGAAAGCTTTTGCAAAATTTGAGATAAAGTTTCAACTTGGAGCCTCAATATCTTTAGAAGTATTTAAGATATAGAAATAAATCTTATTTTATCTTGAAGATAATTTAATTCTGATTCAGAATATATAATCTTACATTATATTTGTTACCATAATAACCGAGTAATCAGCAATTTTGTGAAAGAATGTCAGATTATTCAGGAGTTAATTTCCAGAAAAATATTAAAATGTAGAGATTGCATTTTTGTATCACTAAAATTTCGACAAATTAGGTATATAATGCAAAATCTACACTAAGATTTTCTAGTGATTCTAGTGGGTTTCTGTATCTCTCTGATAGACTGATAGAGGGTGACATTATCCAGTTAAACTTCTCTCTAATATATATGGCAAAACTATTCGTTTAGATCTCACTGTATTTAGATCTAGTTTCTAGTTTATTAAAAAACAAAAATTGAATTTGTTTTAAACTCTTCCTATCTAGAAATGAAACCTCGAGATTTTATATGAAATTTATACGATTTTGGCTTTATTTGAATTAACCAGAAATATAAATGTATGATACCAATATTACCAATAAACTAACATAAGCCATACTTAAGGGTACAGAGATTTAAATTGTCTCAAAACCACAACGCATCTAATTCAAATTAATAATAAACGATGCTTCAATTTAATCGAATAAAATTAATCATAGAATTTTTAATTAAAGTCCTAATAACTTAATTAACAAATTCCTTTCTGACTGTTTCAGCCGTTGCGATGCATTTCCTGTTCCTGGCCGCATTCTTTTGGCTAAACACCATGTGCTTCAATATATGGTGGACTTTTCGGTAAGTTTTCTCAAAATAAATCGACCAAAAGTCAATAATTCTTGTAGGGATTTGAGACCACAAAGTGCTGAAAAAAGCCAGGAACGAATTCGCTTATACTTATATGAAGCCTACGCTTGGGGCCTGCCATTTCTCATAGTCTTTATTGGAGCTGTAGGTGATTTGGCATCTAGCAATTCTACTGAAGGCAGTTTTCTCAGGCCTAGATTTGCTTCCAATCAATGCTGGTTTGGCGGTAATATAATTTAGCTTCAATCAATTAATTAATCATCAACATGTGGTGTTTTTTTTTAGGAGACAAAGAAGTTCTGGTCTATTTCTACGGTCCGATGGGTCTTTTGTTGGGCATCAATTTGGTTCTTTTTGGTTTGACTGCCAGAGAACTTACGTGTGGACTGTGGAAACGTGAATTGGTCAAGTCAACAACTGAAAGGTAAAATCCTATAGACGAACAATAATATTTACACTTTTGAGATTTATTTGTTTAGTATTATAAGCGGAAAATAAAGTGGATTGATTATTTGGTTTCTCTACCTTTTGCTGATTTATTAAAAGTGCGTTTATAAGAAGTCTATAAAAAATGCTTTCAACAAGGTAATTTTCTAGATTTCGCAGGGATGAAACATAAACATTTCAATAATGTTTATTTCGTGGATATTTTTTCAGGGATTCAGGATGTTTATTCTTTCTCAACCCACATTCGGATAATGCTTTTTTTATTAATATTTCTCAGTTTGTTGATTATTCTGAGAAAAATGAACAGCTGCTAATTGGGAAAAGCCATGTTTTTAAGTTGCAAATAAACAGTGTTACATTTTAAATATATTTTCAGGGCTGCCTTAGGAAGAATCTGCGCCAAACTCGTAGTGGTCATGGGGGTCAGCTGGATCATGGACGTCATTTCTTGGTTTGTAGGTGGACCTGAATCCATCTGGTATTTTACCGATGTCATTAACTGCTTACAAGGCGTTTTCATTTTTATTGTTGTTGGATGTCAACCACAGGTAAGAATCAAATAAGTTTCTTCATACAACTCATTATCATCCAAATTATTCTAGGTTTTATCAGCTGTGAAACGTTCTTGGTGCCTGCTGAGAAACAGAGAAAATGGTACCAACAACAGTACCCATCGGGACCATCATTCGTCCAGCTCGCAAGGCATGCCTTCCTACGGCGGCGACACCTTGACCAACAACAGTACCATAACTAATGGTACCACGACAGCAAAGTCTCCACCTTTGGAAACGAACTGTTGAATCAAGGCTGATTAATTTTTATCAAACTGTCAGAGCCAATGAGGATTTTTTTTTTTTTGCTGGAATATGGCCAGCATTTGAATGACTGATTTTTTTTATAATTTAATTATTGCTCAAACATATATTTTTTTATGTTTTTTTATTTTGCTTCTAGCTGCTGGGGACCAACTTTTGCATTTTTATTTTATTATTTTTATTAATTGGACGCAATTTATTGTCTAACAAGCACTGATGATTAATAATTAGCCTTCAGTGAACTGTGTTTTATTAAATTAATGTACAAATTTCGATTATTGGCTGTATCTACTATAAAAATTATTGTGACTTTTGGACTTGTCTTGCGCGACAAATCTGCATTTTCCTTTTGTACTAATTTATTAATGATTTTTTTCTTTATCTTTTGTTTAGTCTTTATTATTAGTATGTATAAGTTATTTAAAAGTTAGGCCTTTTAGACTAGAAATTTTAGGTTTTATCAATTCTTTCAAAGTTGCAACGAACCTTAGGTAGGTAGGTATAACTTTCATACCATTATTTATTTCGATTAAAAATTATTGCCTATATTTTGTTAGTTTTTTTTTTATATCTACCTACTGTATAATTTTGAGAAAAATAATAAGGGTCTAGAACTACAAGAATAGGAACTCTTTATTATAGCCCAGGAGAAAGATAGTATTTCGTTAATAATCAAAATTATGATCAGCAGTCCAAATTTTGAAGATAAAACTACTCACAATTTGAATTATTCTCAACTCTTGAATTTTGAATTGCTTTCATGTATTCAAGAGCCGGTAACGATCAAAATTTGGACTATAAGCGGCTCTTGATTCGCTGGATAATTTTTCTAGAAGGGATCAGTATCCGTTTATAATCAAAATTATGATCAGTATAGTCTAAATTTTTAAGATAAATTACTCACAATTTGAACGTTGATATTTGGAATTTATTTAAAGCGGGACGCTCATTAAATCGGGACTCGTAGCTCGAAATCGGGACTGTCCCGCCTAAATCGGGACGGATGGTCACTTTATTGTAAGATTATCCACTTTTTGTCAATTCACCTTTCAACAGAAATTAGTAATGTTACTTCATTAAACTAGTAATATATTGTGATAAGTTATTCAAGTACAAACGAGTGGATTGTTGCGGAACTTATGAGTGGACCTCTGTGGGACGAGCACAGCGAGTTCCGCAGCCATCTATTCATCAATATGTTGTTTAATTATGATACTAACCTGACTCACTCAAATGTGAGTTATTCTCATTAGTTTAAAAACTACATTGGTTCAGGTTAATGTTTTACTTAAACAGTTCAGCAGTATATTGCTGAGTAGATGGCTGCGGAACTCGCTGATGCGGTCGTCCCGCAGAGGTCCACCCATAAGTTCCGCAACAATCCACTTATTTATACTTGAACAATAACTTATTATATAAAATCAAAATTTGTAAGATTATGATTATTCACTCTTTATCAATTCGCGTTTCAACAGGAATTAGTAATGTTACTTTACCAAACTAGTAATATATTGTGACAAGTTATTCAAATATAAATGAGTGAATTGTTGCGAAACTTATGGGTGGATCTCTGCGGGACGAGCGCAGCGAGTTCCGCAGCCATCTATTTATCAATATGTTGTTTAATTACGATATTAACTTGACTCATTCAAATGTCAAACATTAAAAACTACATGGTTCAGGTGAATGTCTTACTTGAACAATTCAGCAGTATATTGGTGACTAGATGACTACTTACTAGACTAGTTTAGAATTCGTAGACTTTAAACACAAAACTTATGATTATTTCAATATCCGTAGAACTTGTTCAGTGTTCAGATCTGATCTGGGAACCAATTCTAGAACAAAAAACTCAGAATTCAAAGTTTCAAGTCTATCTACTGATACTCTGGAGTAGGTGTTTTTAAGGATTTTTCAAAAGTGATAACTTGAATTTTCCAACTTTTGCTGGTATTAAGTTGGGAAAAAACTTCATAATTTGATTTCTGAACTTCAGATTGGCTTCAAATTTGCCTTGTTTGATGAAAACAGCCAGATTAATAAATCCAGAAAGTTTGAATTTGATCTGATATTCCGATAAGGTGATTTAACATGAATTTTCCAATTTTTTCTGGTATCAAGTTGGAAAAAACCTCATAATTTTATTTCTGAGGTTCAGATTGACTTCACATTTGCCTTGCTTGATGAAAACATCCTGGTTAATAAATCCTGGAAGTGTGAATGCCGTCTATTTTTTGGTTTAGTTGCTTCCACACGGAGTTGTGACCACTCAAAATGTTGTAAATTTCTGTAATGACAGGAAGAAGGTCATTGTTTTTTTTTTAAACAGGCTCCGAGAGCTTCGACATATTTTATAGAAATCTGGAAATTATGTAGATTTTCTAGTTGAAATTATCATTATGTCACACTTGGACTCGTTTTGTCGGTTTGGTAAAGTCAAAATTACGCACGTTTATGTGTAAAACTGAACTTACATTACACATTTTTGAATGTTGTTTCTATTTCAGGCTCTTGAATTTTCTTTATTCGGAGAAATTTAGGAAAGATTCAAGAGCCGAGAATTGACAAAAATTGAGCCAAGAAAACTGACGATATGTCACGCTTTCCGGACACGTTTCAGTTAAGGAAGTAGGTATATATTTTCCTGCCTAGGCCAGAAGGTAAAATACGTCCGGAAAGTATGTAGGTACTTTTTAAACCATTGTCGAAAAAATAGTGTACCTATTTGGTGTTAATTTTGGGATTGGAGCACGTTTGCACCAAGTGACATTTCTCCATGTCGAAATGTCATTTTAGGGAATACCTATATGGTTAAGACTTCCTTTAAACGGTTGATGTAAATGGCCATATGTACTTTCTTTTCTATATCGATACTAGTTCCCGATTCTTGAATTTGTCTAAATAAAGAAAACTCGAGAGCCTTTTTTTCTTAATTTTCCCTGATCAATTTTTGTCTATTCTCGGCTTTTGGTTAATAAGATTACTAAAACATTCCTTTAGTACGTCTATAAATATTCAACTTGTTGTTCAAGTACAAATGGGTAGATGGCTGCGGAACTTGGTGTGCTCGTCCCGCAGAGGTCCACCCATAACTTCCGCAATAATCCACTTATTTGTACTTGAACAATAACTTATTATATAGAGTCAGAATTTTAAAGATTATCCACTTTTTGTCAATTCACCTTTCAACAGGAATTAGTAATGTTACTTCACCAAACTAATATATTGTGACAAGTTATTCAAGTACAAATGAGTGAATTGTTGCGGAACTTATGGGTGGACCTCTACGGGACGAGCGCAGCCATCTACTTATCAATATGTTGTTTAATTACGATATTAACCTGATTCACTCAAATGTGAGTTATTTTTATTAGTTTAAAAGCAACATGGTTCAAGTGACTGTCTTATTTGATCAGTTCAGCAGTACCTATATTGGTGAGTAGATGGCTGCGGAACTCTTTGCGCTCGTCCCGCAGAGATCCACCCATAACTTCCGCAATAATCCACTTATTTGTACTTGAACAATAACTTTATTATATAAAGTCAGAATTTGTAAGATTATGATTATATTCACTTTTTGTCAATTCGTCTTTCAACAGGAATTAGTATAATGTTACTTTATCAAACTAATAATATATTGTGACAAAGTTATTCAAGTACAAACGAGTGGATTGTTGTAGAACTTATGGGTGGACCCAACCATCAATTCACCAATATGTTGTTCAAAATACAAGTACAATACTAACTTGATTCACTCAGTTATGAATTTTTCTCATTAGTTCAAAAACTACTATACGTTTCAGGTGAGTGTTTTTTTTTTGAACAGTTTAACAGTATATTGGTGAGTAGATGGCTGCGGAACTCGCTGCGCTCGTCCCGCAGAGGTTCACCCATAAGTTCTGCAATAATCCCCTTATTTGTACACGGTGTTTTTTTTACATATTGACACCCCACCTACTTACCTTCATTACCTTTACAGGTAAAACAAAGGTGTAAATACAAAAGTTGTACAGTTTTGGCTGAATTTTTAGTGAAATTTTGCATGCTTCCAGCCTTTTTCAAATAGGATGCCCTATATTTCATTTTATATTCTTGAAAAGCACAATGCCCCGATTCCAAAAATATATAGTTTGTCTATATATTTGATTGCAGTCTCTCATATATTCGGCTCCAAAAATTGTAAAAATATTGTCGTACTGCTGATTTTGTGAACCATTCTACCTGTACAGGTGAAAGTTGCAGGTAAAATTTGAGGTAGTTGGTTTCTCTGATAGTATTTTTAAAATTTTTAGAACCAAATATGTTGGAGCCGGCTCAACCATAGACAAAATATATAGTTTTAGAATTGGAAAATTGTACTTACTCTTTAAGAATATGGAACCAAATATAGGACATCCCATAGGTAGTGCATATTTAATAGGAATATCTCAGTGAATCTAATAAACTATTTCTCATAAGTAGTATTGGTGTTTGATTTTTTAATGCAAGTTTTCATGGTCTTATACACAGTCTAATAATTTAATGATTTGAAAAAACGCAGTTAAGATAATTAATTGAGTATACCCTAATGGTCTACCCCTCAAGGCATCTTATCTGTCTACTGATTTCTACTGATATTTAGGGCCAAATTATGGACTATGACTGGTAAACATTTGGTTGTTACCTAGCAGGTACTTTCTATGCAATAGAGAATGGAAAGTACCTGCTAGGTAACAACCAAAGACTTACCGGTTGGTCTATAATTTGGCCCTTAAACTGGTAATTTACTGACAAAACAAAATATGACTTGGCAACACTGATTATGATCAGTAGTCCAAATTTGGAAGATAAATTACTCACAATTTGAACTATATTCTTGGCTCTTGAATTGCTTCTTAGAAATTTCTCAATGTATTCAAGAGCTGGGTAAACATTCAAGATTTGAATTATAAGCGGATCTTGATTCGCTGGATAATTTTCCTAGAAGGAATAATCAGTATTCGTCAAGAATCAAAATTATGATCAGTCAGTAGTAATCCAAATTTTGAAGATAAATAACTCACAATTTGAATAACTCTTGGTTCTTGAATTGTTTTCTAGAAATTTCTCAATGTATTCAAGAGCTGGTAACCTTCAAGATTTGGACTATAAGCGGCTCTTGATTCGCTGGATAATTTTTCTGGAAGGGATCAGTATCCGTTAATATTCAAAATTATTATTTGAGAGCCGGTAACGATCATAATTTGAACTATATATGCGGCTCTTGATTTGCTGGATAAATTTATAGAAGAAATCCAGTATTTGTCGATAATCAAAAGTAAGTATGATCAGTAGTCCCGAAATCTTGATGATAAATATTACTTAGGCAAATCAAGATTCTGTGGAAAACCACATTTGGACTATAAATATATGACGTCATGATAGAGTTTTTTCACAAGAATGTCTAATGACAAAACCATAATACTTGTTTCATTTCCAATTTGTCTTATCTAGGGTCAAGTTCTACTTAAAACTGCATTACTTATTAGGAGTAATGATTATTATTGCACCATTAAGTCAAAGTTTCCATTTTGTTTGGTTGAAAGTAACACCACGTTCGACAGGCTATCAGGATGAATTTTTATTAAAATAGCACAAAGAATTAGCTTCAAGTTGGCAGCCGACTTTCCACATTATCTGTATTATGCAATAAGTTGTCATTAAGAAAACTAGAGTCATAATATTTTAGGTACCTACCTATTCACCCCGTCTGAATTATTAATCTGGTGAGATTTCATATTGATTGTGTTGTGGCAACGTATTTGTATTTGTCAGTTTTAAGAAATGCAAAATCCAAGTATTAGATGAAAAATAACTATGGAAATCTGAGTAAAGGACTCCACACACTTCTTATGGAATTTCTGACCGCGGCGAAATTTAACCAAAGTTTAATATGTTATAGATCTCACCTTTCTGATCAATAATAACCTTAATTCTATGTTTTTCAATAGAATTAGGTATTTAAATCTGCAAACTCGACAATCTTCGAATATCATTTTCATTCGTCATATAATCAAGAACCATGGGAAACTAAATATAAAATCATTACAATTGTAATATTTTTAACCATGGCTTCATTCGTAAGAAATACTAAATTTGAACTGAAGTTCAATATTCACATTATTAGCATATAAACAATAATACCATCCTTAATTCCTCCGTCTTAAGTATGACACATTTGGAGTTATTTTGCTTATAATTATTCCACATGATAACTCAGATTATTTTATTAAAATGACTGCTTTATCTTAGTACAAAATAAATATCAGACATATCGGAACGCGTTCTTATAAGCATTATACAAATTACAAAAAAAGCATATCAGTGAGAGAAAAATAAAAAAGATAAGATAAAACAATCGCATTATGAACCCAATTATTTGTTACAGGCAATAGTCATAGCAAGCCCATAACAAAACACCAATAATTATTAGTTTTTGGGTGTATTATAGTGAAAAATAATATGTAGTGAGATATGAATAAGAATATTACGATATCGGATCTCAACGTAGAGATACAAGGGAACGGGAATGGTATTCGAAAATATTTGGGTGCCAAAATTGGAATTTGCGTTATAGAAGTAAGTCTGATAATAAGTTCTAAAAAAAATAATAATAAAATTCCCAAGTTTCTACTAGCCTCAGTGTTTTATTGTTATGGAATCATCCTCTCTGAATACGTCATACTTGGAACTCATAAATATGGAGACGGTTTATGGACGTCTATTTTATTTATTTGCAGTTGGAGCTTTACAGGTATATTTTGTCATTTATTCATAAAATATAATCATACCTCAATAATTATTTTAGATCCAATTGCCAGATTCATTTCAGAATACTTTGAGGATCGCAAAAATATACTCCTCAAATACCTAATGGGATTTAGCTCAGCTATACTTTTTATTGCAGTGATGATTCCTGGAAATATAATTGCGTATATGATTTTTGGAGGTTTATTGTCCAATCTCGTCTCCAATCAGCTCAATTTTTTTGCCATAGACAAGCTGGACATGGACAGTAAAGTTTTTGAAGCTTTTCGTCAAATCTCTAGAGCATTGAGCCTATTTATCATGCCCCAAATAATTTGCTTGTTAATTACTTATTATGAAGTCAATCAAGTTAAATTGATATTTGGTGCTGTTTTGTTTAATATTATTCCTGCCGCACTCATAATTAAAACTGGTGAAGAAACACGTAATAATGATTACGATACTGAAATGTCTCGATATCAAACTATTGGGTAAGAATTTTGCATTATAATTCCAGCTTAAAAACACAAACCAAAATTGTAGTCGTTTTTCTCATCAAATGCAAGAAATGAAAAGCTTCACAAAAGAAAATGATGACAATCTTTCTGAAAGTAGTTCAACATCGAGCAAAGAAGAACCAGTTTTTGAAATAAATCCCAAATATATCCGAGTTGATAACGGCATCGAAAATGAAGCATCCGAACATATTATCAACGATTTATCAGTGCCCACAATGCATTTGAGTCCTGTTAATGTTCAATCGTATTTTCTTAATTTTGGAGTGAGCATTTTACCTGGTAAGTAGATTGATCAGAAGTTATAAGTTCTGTGACCTAATCTTCTAGGTTGTGGTACTTTTGATATCTTCTGTATAGAGTTTTTGTTACCAGTATTAGTATTATTAATTATTATCATATTGTATTTGTCATTATCATATGAGTTTTTCATTATTGTGAATGTCGTGTATAATTCTTGTTTATTAAAGCCTAATTTCTAAAGGTAGGTAATTCAGTAATTCATTACAATTTAATAAACAAGATGGATAAACTCTTGATTCGACGCTGATCAAAAACCATGTCAGGATTTAGAAAATTTTCCAGAGCCAAAAACCAGGATTTTATTTTTATTTTTGTGTCTGCAAGGTTGTTTTCAACTAATTTTGATCCGCACTATCGATTCATAGAGTCAAAATTGAGCAAAACTAAAAAATAAAAAAATCGAATTTTTCATAAGGGTACCCCCTTTGAATTCTGATTCCAAAATATTCAAACCTCAATTGCTCGGTAACCGTTGAGCAAATTGCATTAAAATTTACAGAATTTGTAGCTTTTATCAAGTTCTAAATGGCCTGTAATTTACAATATTTCCAGATTTCTAGTTTTTGAGCAAATTGAGTTTGAAGTTTTTGACAAAATTTGGACTAAAAGTCAACTTTGAGGCTCAATTGCTCAAAAACTATCCGAGCTATCGAACTCAATTTTGCACAGATTTATAGAGAATTTAGGGCTCTTCCCAATGATGTATAATTTATTTCAATTTGCTCAAAATTTACCAAAGATATGGGCAATTGTTCATGACTATGTCAGGATTTTGAAAATTTTCTAGAGCCCAAAATAGGATTTTCTTTTTATTTTTGTGTCTGCTTAAAATGGCCATTTGGAATTGATATCAGGGTTGTTTTCCACTAATTTTGTCCCGCTCTATCGATTCATAAAGTCAAAATTGAGCAAAACTAAAAAATAAAAAAATCGAATTTTTCATAAGGGTACCCCCTTTGAATTTTGATTCCAAAATATTCAAACCTCAATTGCTCGGTAACCGTTGAGCAAATTGCATTAAAATTTCCAGAATTTCTAGCTTTTATTAAGTTCTAAATGGCCTGTAATTTACAATATTTCCAGGTTTCTAGTTTTTGAGCAAATTGAGTTTGAAGTTTTTGACAAAATTTTGACTAAAAATCAACTTTGAGGCTCAATTGCTCAAAAACTATCCGAGGTATTGAACTCAATTTTGCACAGATTTATAGAGAATTTAAGGCTCTTTCCAATGATCTATAATTTATTTCAATTTGCTCAAAATTTACCAAAGATATGGGCAATTGTTCATGACTATGTCAGGATTTTGAAAATTTTCTAGAGCCCAAAATAGGATTTTATTTTTATTTTTGTGTCTGCTTAAAATAGCCATTTGGAATTGATATCAAGGTTGTTTTCCACTAATTTTGATTCGCTCTATCGATTCATAAAGTCAAAATTGAGCAAAACTAAAAAATAAAAAAATCGAATTTTTCGTAAGGGTACCCCCTTTGAATTCTGATTTCAAAATACTCAAACCTCAATTGCTTGGTAGCCGTTGAGCAAATTGCATTCAAATTTCCAGAATTTGTAGCTTTTATCAAGTTCTAAATGGCCTGTAATTAACAATATTTCCAGATTTCTAGTTTTTGAGCAAATTGGGTTTCAAGTTTTTTACAAAATTTGGACTTAAAGTCAACTTTGAAGCACAATTGCTCAAAAACTATCCGAGGTATCGAACTCAATTTTGCACAGATTTATAGGGAATTTAAGGCTCTTTCCAATGATGTATAATTTATTTCAATTTGCTCAAAATTTACCAAAGATATGGGAAATTGTTCATGACCATGTCAGGATTTTGAAAATTTTCCAGAGCCAAAAATAGGATTTTCTTTTTATTTTTGTGTCTGCTTAAAATGGCCATTTGGAATTTATATCAGGGTTGTTTTCCACTAATTTTGACCCGCTTTATCGATTCATAAAGTCAAAATTGAGCAAAACTAAAAAATAAAAAAATCGAATTTTTCATAAGGGTACCCCCTTTGAATTCTGATTTCAAAATATTCAAACCTCAATTGCTCGGTAACCGTTGAGCAAATTGCATTAAAATTTACAGAATTTGTAGCTTTTATCAAGTTCTGAATGGCCTGTAATTTACAATATTTCCAGTTTTTGAGCAAATTGAGTTTGAAGTTTTTGACAAAATTTTGACTAAAAATCAACTTTGAGGCTCAATTGCTCAAAAACTATCCTAGGTATCGACAGGGCCGTAGCGATATGACTATCCCTAGGGGGGGAGACTAAGATGCGGCGCCCCCTACACGCCGCGAAGACGAAGAAAAATATGTTTGGTAACCACATCAATTTTCACCAATTTTAAGCAACTATGGGCATAATTTTTTTTAATAAAAATTAGATCATGTTGTATTACTAAGGGCGGGTATTATAAAGCTATTCTGACAGATAACTCAAAGTTCACTTATGGAATTACCATGAGAAGTAAAGTCATTCCTGGAGTTAACTTTTAGTTATTCGCCCTTGAAAACCAAACTTATGTATTGAGTGAGACTATATATCTATTACCAATTTAATTTTCGGATTTTCTTAGACAGTTTTGGGTAAAAATAATGAAGTGTATATTGTACATTTTCAAAATAAGTACACCAATTTTTTTAAATGTTTATTTTAATCAAATTTCTTTGTTTTTGCACATTGTCTATTTTGGCGCCCCTGTGGCAGCTACGCCCTGGGGGGGAGGCTCCCCCGTCTCCCCCCTGTTGGCTACGCCCCTGGGTATCGAGCTCAATTTTGCACAGATTTATAGAGAATTTAAGGCTCTTTTCAGTGATGTATAATTTATTTCAATTTGCTCAAAATTTACTAAAGATATGGGTAATTGTTCATGACCATGTCAGGATTTTGAAAATTTTCCAGAGCCCAAAATAGGATTTATTTTTTATTTTTGTGTCTGCTTAAAATGGCCATTTGGAATTGAAATCAGGGTTGTTTTCCACTAATTTTCTCCCGCTCTATCGATTCATAAAGTCAAAATTGAGCAAAACTAAAAAATAAAAAAATCGAATTTTTCATAATGATACCCCCTTTGAATTCTGATTTCAAAATATTCAAACCTCAATTGCTCGGTAACCGTTGAGCAAATTGCATTAAAATTTACAGAATTTGTAGCTTTTATTAAGTTCTACATGGCCTGTAATTTACAATATTTCCAGGTTTCTAGTTTTTGAGCAAATTGAGTTTGAAGTATTTGACAAAATTTTGACTAAAAATCAACTTTGAGGCTCAATTGCTCAAAAACTATCCAAGCTATCGAACTCAATTTTGCACAGATTTATAGAGAATTTAGGGCTCTTCCCAATGATGTATAATTTATTTCAATTTGCTCAAAATTTACCAAAGATATGGGCAATTGTTCATGACTATGTCAGGATTTTGAAAATTTTTTAGAGCCCAAAATAGGATTTTTTATTTTATTTTTGTGTCTGCTTAAAATGGCCATTTGGAATTGAAATCAGGGTTGTTTTCCACTAATTTTGTCCCGTTCTATCGATTCATAAAGTCAAAATTGAGCAGAACTAAAAAATAAAAAAATCGAATTTTTCATAAGGATACCCCCTTTGAATTCTGAATTCAAAATATTTAAACCTCAATTGCTCGGTAACCGTTGAGCAAATTGCATTAAAATTTTTAGAATTTGTAGCTTTTATCAAGTTCTAAATGGCCTGCAATTTACAATATTTCCAGATTTCTAGTTTTTGAGCAAATTGAGTTTGAAGTTTTTGACAAAATTTGGACTAAAAGTCAACTTTGAGGCTCAATTGCTCAAAAACTATCCGAGGTATCGAACTCAATTTTGCACAGATTTATAGAGAATTTAAGGCTCTTTCCAATGATGTATAATTTATTTCAATTTGCTCAAAATTTACCAAAGATATGGGCAATTGTTCATGACCATGTCAGGATTTTGAAAATTTTATAGAGCCCAAAATAGGATTTTCTTTTTATTTTTGTGTCTGCTTAAAATGGTCATTTGGAATTGATATCAGGGTTGTTTTCCACTAATTTTGTCCCGCTCTATCGATTCATAAAGTCAAAATTGAGCAAAACTAAAAAATAAAAAAATCGAATTTTCATAAGAGCCCTTTGAATTCTGATTTCAAAATATTCAAACCTCAATTGCTCGGTAACCGTTGAGCAAATTGCATTAAAATTTCCAGAATTTGTAGCTTTTATCAAGTTCTGAATGGCCTGTAATTTACAATATTTCCAGATCTCCAGTTTTTGAGCAAATTGAGTTTGAAGTTTTTGACAAAATTTTGACTAAAAATCAACTTTGAGGCTCAATTGCTCAAAAACTATCCAAGCTATCGAACTCAATTTTACACAGATTTATAGAGAATTTAGGGCTCTTTCCAATGATGTATAATTTATTTCGATTTACTTGAAATTTACCAAAGATATTGGTAATTATTCATGGCCATGTCAAGATTTAGAAAAATTTTCAGAGCCAAAAATGGGATTTTCTTTTTATTTTTGTTTCTGCTTAAAATGGGCATTTGAAATTGATGTGAGGGTTGTTTTCCACTAATTTTGTCCCGCTTTTTCGATTAAGCTACCATTATGAAATGTATGAAAACAGTCATAAATTAATATTCTACACGTTTATGCAATAATCTCAATTTTTAATTAGTGCCCTTTTGCGCGTTCTGATTTTGTATTACCTTGGGATTTTGAATTAACATAATAAAACCTTCATTCTGTGAAAATTTCAGTTTGTAACTCCGACGCGCCCACAAAAGTCAAAATATTTTATAAGGAGCACTCTACTATAAGTAAGTGTGAACAAAATCATTCATCAGTTGAAAAAGAAGCTTATTTTCATAGTTGAAGCGATTAAAAAATGAAGACATTTTCTGATAAGTCGCCATTTCCAGCTGATTACTGATAAAAAATCTGTATCTTTTATGTTTGATACTAAACACAGCAGCAAAATAAAAAATGAGAAGATTTTAAGATGGCGACTTGAACTATCATAATGTTACAGCTATGATATAATATATAGATCAGACGAGAAAACGTAGTAGCTGATACATTTTTTCGAATATGTGGTTCAAATAGTCAAAAAACTTTAATCAATTTACATCAAGCTTGGCGTCATCCTGGAATCACTAGAATGGTCCACTGGGTCAGATCTCGCAATATGCCCTATTCTGTAGAAGATATTCGTATTATGTCAGCGTCATGTTATAAATATGCCTACTCAATCAGAAGTTAGTGTAGATTTTTCACAGGAACCTATTCCCACAGAACATATATGCGAGACATAGAACAAGAAAATGTAAGTGAGACAATAAACCAGTCTCAATCCATTCACTGTGAGCCACCACTAGAAAACCACATCCATCGTGAATTAAGAACTAGACAATCTTCCAAAACAATAAACCTGGCGAGAATGTGGTACTTTTGATATCTTGTCTATATAGTTTTTGTTACCAATATTAATTATTATCATATCGTATTTTGTCATCATTGTGAATGTCGTGTATAATTCTTGTTTATTAAAGCCTGATTTCTAAAAATAATTCAGTAAATCATTACATATAGGTATTCCCGAAGAAGATGAAGAAATCGATGACATAAACTACATTAACCCAAAAAGACTGAGCGTCATAAGTAGCAAACTGGAAGAATTAAATATACAAGATCAAATACGACGTGAAAGCATTAAAGAAGTTTTTAGCATTAATGAGGTACATAAACCTGAGCGTATAAACACAATCGAATACATACCAAATTTCAAAGAAGAAAAATCTAGAATGTCTGTTTTGGATGAGTTGAAGAACTTTCAAAGGTCCAGTCATTGTTTCCATTGCTCGCCATACAGAAAATATATCTGGACTAGAAGGTTGAGAATGGTGAAGGATTTTTTTAATGATAATTTTTTACGTCCGCTTTACCACGCTTTGAAAAACTTATATTTTTATCCAGCGTTGAGCACTAAAATAACCACCAACTTGGTGTCAACGTTGTACATAACTTTAGCTCCTTTCATGGCAATGGAGAACTCGTGGAAACAAAAAATGCTTATTTTTAGTACAGAAAACGTAACATTTTTACTCACTTATGTTGCATTTGCTTGGTGCTTTTTCCTTGTAGGCTTACCATTGGTTTTTAAGCTCAATCAAAACAAAATTCGAATGGTTTTTGCTTTCGGATTGGTTGTCAGTGGGACTAGTTTATGGTGTAAGTATAAATTTATGTTAATGACAATTGATTAAATTGTTTTTCAGTTCTTTCAGCTAAATTAAGTAACGATGTTATTACTATAAGTAGTCTCCTGTTCGGTTTTGGTTACGGCATAATCACTTACACGGAAAAACAAGTTTTCAAAACCTCGATTGGGATGAGGCCTTGGTACTTGGTGCGAGGACCTCTAGAAGTCCTCTCTGCCGTTTTTATCCTTATAATTTATCACGTTATTTATTTAAACAAAGTAAATTTGAATTGGTTACTGTTCTTGGCCGCAATGTCCTATTATTTCAATGCTGTTTTGTGGCTTTGCATGCCGTTTTTCAAGTATTTTATCAGTATTGTCAAGAGGATAATTTTCGACGAACGAAGTCAACAGGAAGAGTTTTTTCATTAGAGGAGGATGTGTTATGTGTATTTTTTTCTAAATAAAATGTGATATTTTTCATTTATTAGAGTTTTTGTTTATTATATTATTTACACAAATACATAAAGTTAAGGGAAAAATTTACGTAACTACTGTATATAATTTATAAGTTTTCTCCAAGTTAAAATAAGGTAAAATTTAAGCTAAATGTAACACATAATGTCATGCTTAAGTAGATGTAAAATTTATATCACATTGATGCAAACCATTACCTCAAAAAATCGCCCCATAACTCAATTAATATGCTTTGTCTCAAACCTTCAGAGACGATTATCTCGAAAACGAAGCCCTAGGGCTCGGTGCCCTAACTAACCTTTTTTGTAGCCCCAATGAAGATCTGCAATTAGACAAAATTTCGTATTGATAACTTTTCTGGTTTTCAAAATATTTGAAAGTGTAATTTCCCTTAGAAAAATTTCCATTTTGATTTTTCTAGATTTTTTAATTTTTGATTTTACCAATCGAGTCAAATTTAGTGAAAAAGCATTTCTGTGATTTTTCTTTTCGAGATTTTAGGGTTTGTAAACAATTTTTGAGTTTGGGTAGGTATATGTGGACTATTGAAACCAAGTGTTTTTTTTTTTTACTTTATGTCGTCTCGAATGTCTCGTAACTTTTGAAATGCTTTTATATTTTGTATGTTTTTTCATCATCTTATTTGCTGTTTCATATGAATGTTTGTTGTTTTGAAATAATTTAATTCTTCAAAATATTTCATTTATTAATGTTAAATTTGTCCTTCTTCTTCTTCTTGGTGTTTAATCCTGCGTTAGTGCGACAGCACTCTTATGCAGTTTTGGATGAGTCTACTCACTGCCATGTGTTGTGTTTTAAGTCAATTTTTGTTCAGGGAAAGGGAGGGGAGTGGGGAAAGGATAGGAAAGATGGGAAAGGAGGGAAGGGGATTTCATTCACTAGAAGAGAAGTAGAGCTCTTAGATTTCTGAAGAAAGTCCTGTTAAGGTTAATAGTATAGTTATCGTCAAATAAAGAATTGATTATGTCATTTGTATGGTTAGTTACTTTCTCAAGAAACCGCGTATGTTTCTCAACAAGGTATTCCTGGATTGTATCATCATCAGGGCCTTCATTGAGTGAAAATTGAAATTGAAGTGAGTCAGCAAAAGCACTTGCTTTTTCTTGATTAGTATGCACCAAACGAGCTCTACCATGAAAGGTGGAAATATGCCTATTTTTTTCCTATATATTCAAAAGAGAACGAATTATTTTCTATAGAGAATTATCCTCAGGGGACAAGTCAGCTAATAAATTACCCCATTTTTTGTTTTTGTGTTCCTCAATTAAAGTTTTAATTAAGTTCGTAAGTCTGTTACATTTACGTTTGATGTTTGGGTCTCTAGTCCTTATTGCCAGTCTTTTAAGTCGATTTCTCAACTTAATTTGGTGGCGTATGTGATGTGGTAGTGAGTATGGGTTATTTTGTTTAGTGGTTATAGTAATTTTAGTGCTATTTAAACAGTCATTTACTTCTTGAGTAAATGTGTTAATAGCACTGTCAATGTCCAGAGTCATGTCTTACATACGACTGGTGGGATATGATTGGCTTCAAGATGTGATTTGAATTGCGGATAATTGTTAAAGGAAAAAGTATGGTGAGTATTTACATCTACATTTTTGGATAGAGCAAGATCTAGAATGTCAGGGGTGATATTATCAAAATGAGTTGGCTCTAAGGGAGCATGAACTGAGATGAAATTGTCCTGGGTGAATTGAAGCAGAAAAATGCTTGCTCTATTATTAGCGCGACACCCCCAGGCTCTGTTTTTGCAGTTTAAATACCCTGCAACTAAGGTGGAAGCATCAGAACCGAAGAAGAGGTTCATATCATCACGGGTTAAGCGTTTAGAAGGAGGCTTATAAACGCTGAAAATATTGAGCGGGCCATCTGCAAGGTGGACTACCACACCAGTGTATTCCACATTGTCAGAGGTAGGAGTGGCAATAGTGTCATGAGGGCAGAGCTGTCACGAATACTGGTAAATAGGATTTTAAATAGCAAGTATTAATTACAGGAAATTCATGTTGCAAGTACAAATACTAAATAGTTTCAATTTGAAAAGTACTTCAAGTTTTAAGTACTTTAATTAAGTACTTGATTTTTTCAAGTGAAATAATTCAAATAGGTAGGTACTCTGTAAATATTTCAAGTAGGTACTCAATTGAATATTTGAATGACCATGTCGGATTTTAGGAAAAGGACCCTGCCCAAAGTATATGGAGATTGTGTTTATGTCAGAATTGGCAGAATTTTGTATATAATGTAGATCACGCCTTCCTGATTAAAAGTTACCATTGCACCAATCCTGAAAAATGATTCCTTTTTGAGAAAATTAATTTTATAGTATTCATAGGTAGCAAATAAAACGCTTGGACATTGTAATGGACTTTCATACAAATTAGTGGATTATTGCAGAACTTATGGGTGGACCTCTGCGGGACGAGCGCAGCGAGTTCCGCAGCCATCTACTCACCAATATACTGTTGAACTATTCAAATAAGACACTCATCTGAAACGTGTAGTTTTTGAACTAATGAGAAAAATTCACAACTGAGTGAATCAGGTTAGTATTGTACCTGAACAACATATTGGTGAATAGATGGTTGGGTCCACCCATCAGTTCCGCAACAATCCTCTCGTTTGTACTTGAATAACTTGTCATAATATATTACTAGTTTGGTAAGGCAAATTGACAGAAAGTGGATAATCTTACAAATTCTGACTTTATATAATAAGTTATTGTTTAAGTACAAATAAGTGGATTGTTGCGGAACTTATGGGTGGACCTCTGTCCTCCCAGCCATCTAATCACCAATATATTGTTGAACTGTTCAAGTAAGACATTCACCTGAAACGTGTAATTTTTAAACTAATGAGAATAACGCACATTTGAGTGAGTCAGTTTAGTATCGTAATTAAACAACATATTGATGAACAGATGGCTGCGGAACTCGCTGCGCTCGTCCCGCAGAGGTCCACCTATAAGTTCCGCAACAATTCACTCATTTGTACTTCGATAACTTGTCACATTATGTTACTAGTTTGGTAAAGTAACATTACTTATTCCTGTTGACAGGCAAATTGCCAAAAAGTGAATAATCATAATCTTACAAATTTTAACTTTACATAATAAGTTATTGTTCAAGTACAAATAAGTGGGTTATTGCGGAACTTATGGGTGGACCTCTGCGGGACGAGCGAAGCGAGTTCCGCAGCCATCTACTCACCAATATACTGATAAACTATTCAAATGAGACACTCACCTGAAACTTGTAGTTTTTGAACTAATGAGAATAACTGACATTTGAGTAAGTCAGGTTAGTATCGTACTTGAACAACGTATTAATGAATAGATGACTGCGGAGGTCCACCCATAAATTCCGCAACAATCTAGTCGTTTATACTTGAATAACTTGTCACATTATGTTACTATTTTGATAAAGTAACATTACTAATTCCTGTTGAAAGGCAAATTGACAAAAAGTGGATAATCTTACAAATTTTGACTTTTTATAATAAGTTAGTGTTCAAGTAAATACAATGTAACACAAATAGGTAAGCTTGTGGCGCAGTGGGTGCTACGTATAGTAATTTTCCAGGATTGGTGCAATGGTAACTTTTAATCAGGAAGGCGTGATCTACATTAGATACAAAATTCAGCCAATTCTGACATAAACACAATCTCCGTATACTTTGGGCAGGGTCCTTTCTGAGGTCAAAAGTGAGATTTGCTTTTCAATTTTTTTTTTTTTCATGAAATCACCCTCCTGAAAATAACCTAGGATTTGTTTTCGACTATTTTTGACCTTTTCTTTCGATTGGAAAAGTTCAATTTTAGAAAAATTGAAAATTTTAAAATTTTGATTTTTCAGGCTCTACCCTCTTTGGATTTTTTATTCAAAATCTCTTTGACAATATCTCAGTAAATATGAACAGTATCAAGTCAAATTTTTTTGAGATTGTAGCTCTCATTGAGTACTTCAATACCTCATTTAGAAAATATTTTTATTACTTGTGGTTTCTGAGTTATTTGATCTTGAAGTTTTTGATAAAATTTCAATTAAATTTTAACTTTGAAGCCTAATTTCTCAAAGCCTGTAAAAGCAATTGATTCAGTTTTTGGAGGTTTTATAGAGAATTTTATCCTCTTTCGAAGTAGATTCGTTGAGAATTACCAAAACTATGAGCAAATTTGTGAGACCATGTCAGATTTTAAGAAAACTTCTGAGGCAAAACTTGAAATTTACTACAATCACAGAAAAATTTATACTGGTGTGGTATCCTTTGCATATTGAGAAATTTCCAGTTCGAATTTTCTTTTATTATTTTTAAGACTCTCCGGGGAGTGGAAACCATCCCAGTTCGAAAAAATCGTCAGTCATATTTGCTGATGTAGCATTTTTACTTGCTAGGACATGTTAGTTTCACATTTGGTGAAGTATTTGAATAAGTTTCTGGGGTATTTGAAATATTTTAAGTATTTGAAGTACAAATGGTATTTGAATTACTTTTTTTGTAAATCCAAGTATCAAATACAAATACTTTATTTGAAGTATTTGCAGAATCAAGTACAAATATCCAAAAACAAAAGTATTTGAATTATAGTACTTCAAATACTGACAAGTAATTGAAATACATTTTCCAAGTAATTTACTTGAAGTACTGACAGCTCTGCACGAGGGATATTATTTTTAACGAAAATGGCAGTACCACCACTAGCACGGTTAGGTTTGTCATTTCTGTAAATAGTATAGTTTTGAACTTTGTAAATTGTATGTGGTCTGAGCATAGTCTCCTGATGGACTAATGCTATGTCAACATCATCCTCATGTAAGAAGGAAGGAAACTCGTATATTTTAGGAAAGATAGAGTTTGTATTCCAAGAGATTATGTAAAGTCGCGTCAGTCTAGGTGTATCACCTATTGTCTAGTTAAGTTGTGTTAAAAGTTTGAGACTGGGATGATTGTAAATCACTCAGCCAGTCTGTTTAGTTTATTTGAAATCTCTTTCTCTAAAAGAGTCAAGAGACTCAAAATGCAGTTATTTTTCAAGTTTAGTTGTTGTTGAGGGAGGTTTGTATTTGTATTGATGTTATTATTATTATTATTGGTATTCAACTTAATTTTTTGAGCGTAGCTCACAAGTGCGGGGTTGTAGTTTTGAATAGAGCTGCAGTGTCCCTTGGGGGAAAAGAGATTTGAGCTGGTGTTGGTTTGGGGATGGAAGGGACATTTCTATTTGGACACTTCGGACAATTCCTGTAATTGGCCTGATCTGCACTTTTTAATTTGGTAAAATTTGTCAGCTTCATCTGGGAAGACCAGGAGTTTTATCAGAGAAGAGCCTTTGAGGCCGCTTCTCTGAAAGGGCTTGAATCTTAGGGGAGAAACCCAAAGATTCAAGTTCTTCCTGGACTTCCTCTAGGTCTTGATTTCTGTCCAGTCCTTTTATTACCACATTTATCATTTTCTCGCCGGGAAGAAAGTACGAGTGAAATTAAATTTTTTGTTTTTTGAGAAATTTGGTGATGCCGCGATGGTCATCAGAAGAGTCAGGGGTGATAGAAATCCCCAGTCTGTCTTTTTTAGGGTCTGTAAAAAATAATTTCATGTCAGTTAATTTAGTTAGAAGTTGGTTTGGTCTCAAAACATTTCTTAGGATGATTGGAACAGTTTTTTTTAGGAGGATGGCTTTTGGTAGGTCTGGTTTTAGTAGTCTGAGATGAATCGTCATTTTTCTTTTTAAGATAGGTCACTAATTTTTTGTTGGTGCTGTGAGGAAAGTTGAAGGGAGCAGTGTTTTTTGGTTTTTTGAGTGGAGGAAAATCAGTGTCTGCAACATCCATTTTCTCCTGATTATTTCCTCCGTCGTCATCAGATATTGTCAATTAAAATGTCCATGTTTTGGTCTGTACCTGATGAAGTCGGTACGTCCTTGTCGATCTTATGTGATTTAATATTGGCGGTTTTTGTCTTGGACGAGTCATTACTTCTTACTTCAAGTAGAATTTCATCTAACGAAGCTTGAAGTGTCTGTAATTGTTGTCTTAATAATTTATTCTCTTCTTCCAAAAGCTCATATTTCCTTTTTAATGAATGAAATATAGATAAGATCATCGGACATTGCTTCACAAAATCGCCTTTTTTGAAGCCCCAAACAAGATCTAAAATTGGACGAAATTTCCTGCCGATAGCTCACAATTTGTATGATACTTTCTTGTGCAACTTAATTGCAAATTCAGTATTACACCACTTTAACAAAAACAACACGAATTTTTCCTAGAAAATCCAATTATACTCGGTTTACGCAAGAAGTAACACCGAAATTGATTATTACATGTATCCCATAACTAACTGAATTTTTCGCATGGAGATTTCCTTCGAAAAGAAAAACCGTATATGGACGAAAATCGATGTGGAACTCGCATCTGCGCCTTCTCGGTTTAAGAATTAAATCCGGCTCGATGGACCGAAAACCGTCTGCGAGTGTTTTGTTTTTAGTGCAGCAATACGAACGTGTCGCAGCTGCAGCAATGATGTGCTTAAAAATAACACGAATCTGAAAGAGCCAAAAAGGACCAAAAGTCAAAAGATATAAATACATACATTATTTTTGTTTAGCCACTTCCTACTTGAACATTGAACATACATAAGCCTGGTAAGTAACTATTTTCAGTTAAATTTTATTTTTGGTTTAAACTTTAATAATAAAAAAAAGTTTTAATTTCAATGAAATTCTTCCATTCTATGATTGTCTCTTTCAGCAATTTTCTTTTGTTCAATGAACCAGAAAAGGTATCTGCAGAAAATGCCGCTTTGTACGAAATTTTAAAATAATTCCATTCTCAAAATGAAAACTTTGTTCCGGTAATAAACCCTCATTATACAACAAAGGAAAGGCATATTCTTTGTAGCGTGTTCTGGATCCAAAAAAAAAAGAGTTCATATTATGCTTCCTAAGGGCCCGTATATAAAGCAGGAATTGCCTTTTATTTTCAGACGAAATAAAGCGAAAACTTCTAGGTTTATATGTCAGCCATAAAACTCTGGATTAATTTAACGTGCTATAACTCTTGTTTTCCAATTAACTTAAACACTTTAGGGCGACTTAATTAAAAATGCCCTTTGAGGAAGTTCATCCGTATTGACATTTAGGTTTTTTGAAGTTTGTTTAGGACTCTTGGAAAAATGATTTTAAACGCTTTATATGTGATCTTTCAAAAATTTCATTATCATTATGGACTTTCATATTCTCGTTCCAGTATATAAGCTCTTTCAAGCAATTTAGGAAACTTAATTAAAGTCCTATTTCTCTGAATTATATTATGCTTGAGTATAAAGGTCATCTGGAAGAGAAGTTTCCGTTTCAAATGTCTGGAACATTAGCTAAATGTGCCAGTGTAAGTAGAGCTATATAGAAAGAAAATCTAATTTCAAAGAAATATTACTTCTGAGTGAGGTTCCTTTTTATAGCCCATTGCCAGATAATGATTTTCTTTATGTTTGGTTTTTATATTATTTTTGAAGATTTTGTAAGAATTTGAATTGAAAGACAACGGCTCCCTGAGGTTTTTAAATTGTTCTGAAGTCTTTCAAAATGCTGCTGAAATCTGTTTTGGAAAGAATTTAAGTTCTAAAGTGTTCTAACTTGACTTGAAGAGTTCTAGAGCATTTTAGAAGTTTCCCAGTAATTTCTGAATTATTCTGACAGATTTTTAAGTTTTTCTAAATAATAAGTCCACTGCGCATTAAGGTTTATTTATGGAAAATTATCCGATTTTTGAAAGCCGAATTGATAATCTGAACATTGGGTTTACACTCCGTACAGCACTTACTTTTATGTTTATTACTTAGGTAATGTGAATGGGAAGAAATGGCTTCATCACAAATTTCACAGTGCAAACTCATAATTGCAAATGTGCCAAGCAATCTAAGAAATCTAGTTTCAAATTACATCTTTGGTTTTATCGATCCAACTGTTATGAGATTTATCAAATCCCAACCATTTCACAAAAACCTTATTTCCTTTCGTATTTCGTAATGCTTGTTCAACAAGAAATACATCAGGTTGTTTTGTTTCCTACAATTCTTCTTCATAAAAACCCCCCACTAATAGGATGGCCTTGCAAGTCCTCTAGTAGATAATATTGTTGGATTTGTTATTTGGATTTTAGCCATTTTAAACAGTTCTGCAGTCCAATTTGGAGTATAGCCTTTTTGGAAGACATGTTTGTACTTGCTTATGCGGACTACGTTACCAATCTTGAACTTTTGTTTACCGACAGCCTTGATATGACGGTAAACTGAATCAAGCAATGTCTTTTCATTATTTTCATTGACTTTACTTGGCTTCATACGAATTGTAAGATGTTTGGTATTATTATAGGTAGGTACCTATCAGTAACTGGTTTCAATAAATCGAGCCATTTATAGTAGTATTCCTTTCATCCTTCCCAAGAAACTTATTTCTTGGGTATTCTTCCAGAAGATTTCAATATGCTTTCCATTCTTAGCTTGTCATAACTCTAGCTCCATTCTATTAGTGGGGGTTTTTATGAAGAAGAATTGCAGAAAACAGAACGACCTGATGCCTCGTTGAACAAAAGAAAGGAAATAAGATTTTTGTGAAATGGTTGGGATTTGATAAATCTCATAACAGTTGGATCGATAGAACCAAAGTTGTAGTTTGAAATTGAATTTCTTAGATTGCCCGGCACATTTGCAATCATGAGCTTGCACTGTGAAGTTTGTGATGAAGCCATTTCTTCCCATTCACATTACCTAAGTAATAAACATGAAAGTGAATGCTGTACGGAGTTTCCTATAGATTATACGTAAATGCGCACCCAACCAGTGTAGGAGCATCTATGCTTTGGACATCCGATACAGATTTCGATTTTACAGCTTTAGTCCTGAGGAATTTGGAAAAACAATTGAAATAAGATACCTAATTCTCAAATATTTAATCCACAGTATTCTTTAACTATATTCAGAAAATTATCCTCATTGACAGTTTCTACATTATAATATTTCAAAAGATTGTCATAAAAAGTTCTAAAATCTAGAGCTGCTAGTAAACTTAACCTGTAATTTATTATGTCTTCGATTTCTAAGAGGTGTTTGATGTCATTCATACTGTTGTCGACATGGTGTCTGCTAGCATGGAGCTGTGATACAAGAATTGAGAAATTGCGTTTATAGGAATTACCTTCGATTTATGTTCATCTCCAGAAATAGAAGTTTTACCAAAGACCACCCGCTATCTTTTTCCTGGAACTCGGCAGCTTTGGCAACTAAAACTTGCTTAAAAATTGTCAAATAATTTATAGAAATCCGTTATGGGAAAAGCAGTAGAAAAACGGGAATTGTATGATTTTATTTCTTGTATTTCTCTCAACACTTTCGGTGCGCATGTCGCTCATAGGCGACATAAGCGTACATACTCTAGTGCGCGTGTCGCTTATGTACGACAAGTGTATGCATGGTTTTGTATATTCAGTACAAAGGACCGTGCCCAAAGCATACGGAGATTGTTTTTGTCAGAATTGGCTGAATTTTGTATATAATGTAGATCACGCCTTCCTGATTAAAAGTTACCATTGTACCAATCCTGAAAAATGATTCCTTTTTGAGAAAATTAATTTCGTAGTATTCATAGGTAGCAAGTAAAATGCTTGGACATTTTAATGAACGATCATACAAATAAGTGGATGATTGCAGAACTTATGGGTGGACCTCTGTGGAACGAGCGCAGCGAGTTCCGCAGTTATCTACTCACCAATATACTGTTGAACTGTTCAAGTAAGACATTTACCTGAAACGTGTAATTTTTAAACTAATGAAAATAACGCACATTTGAGTGAGTCAGTTTAGTATCGTAATTAAACAACATATTAATGAATAGATGGCTGCGAAACTCGGAGGTTCATCCATAAGTTCCGCAACAATTCACTCATTTGTACTTGAATAACTTATCATATTATGTTACTAGTTTGGTAAAGTAACATTACTAATTCCTGTTGAAAGGGAAATTGACGAAAAGTGAATAATCATATTCTTACAAATTTTGACTTTACATAATAAGTTATTGTTCAAGTACAAATAGGTGCATTATTGCGGAAGTTATGGGTGGACCTCTGTGGGACGAGCGCAGCGAGTTCCGCAGCTATCTACTTACCAATATACTGATGAACTATTAAAATAGGACACTCGCCTGAAACTTGTAGTTATTGAACTAATTAGAATAACTGACATTTGAGTAAGTCAGGTTAGTATCGTACTTGAACACCGTATTAATGAATAGATGACTGCGGAACTCGCTGCGCTCGTCCCGCAGAGGTCCACCCATAAATTCCGCAACAATCCACTCGTTTGTACTTGAATAACTTGTCACATTATGTTACTATTTTGGTAACATTACTAATTCCTGTTGAAAGGCAAATTGACAAATGTGGATAATCTTACAAATTCTGACTTTATATAATAAGTTATTGTTCAAGTACATACAATGTAACACAAATAGGTAAGCTTGTGGCGCAGTGGTGTGGTGCTTATAGTAATTTTTCAGGATTGGTGCAATGGTAACTTTTAATCAGAAAGGCGTGATCTACATTACATACAAAATTCAGCCAAGTCTGACATAAACACAATTTCCGTATACTTTGAGCAGGGTCCTTTAGCACTAGTGAAGAATAAACGAATTTTTGTCAGTGTGTTAGAAGAGTATTTAACTGCCTCATTTTCTTTTCCGTTTGCGAGTTTGTTTATTTTGGTACCTATACACGTGTGATTGAAGAACAAGGGAAACATGGATAGTGAGGCAGGTCCCTCGGGCTTAAACGTCCTATATTGTATTTCAAAAATGACAGAAAACTCTCAGATTCCGAGTCAGAAAAGGCAGACATCCGCTCTGGACATCTAAATTCAGAGTTTATTTTTATACTAGAGTTAGTAGAAATACTTTTTCCTATCAAATCCACCACTTTTGGTTTCAGTTTTTCTAGATAAAGTCCTACACTGATTGGGTTCACACTTCGTACAGCATTCAGTTTTATGTTTATTACTTAGGTAATGTGAATGGGAAGAAATGGCTTCATCACAAACTTCACAGTGCAAGCTCATGATTGTAAATGTGCCCTAAGAAATCTAGTTTCAAACTATGTTTTTGGTTCTATCGATCCAACTGTTATGAGATTTATCAAATCCCAACCATTTCACAAAAATCTTATTTCCTTTCTTTCGTAATACTTGTTCTACAAGGCATCAGGTTGTTTTGTTTTCTGCAATTCTTCTTCATAAAAACCCCTACTAATGGTTTCCAGTAAGTTTTTAACACGTTCGCTGCGACTCAGATTTAGAACGAGGGCGCCTAGTGCTAACGAACTTTTTCACATAAATTTGAGGTATTTCTTTCAGAAATTGCATTTACAACTGTCCTGAAATAAGTTTCTACAAAAATTAGGGCCAAAAGGGCCATGACGTCTAAATGAGTCACGCGCACTGAGCACCATATTGGTAATAGTCAACCATCCAAGGACCTTTTTTTTCAGTTATATATGTAAACCCCATACTTTGTGAGTGGCTTGCTTACATCAAGTCCTACAACTTTTCCTCTACGACTTTTCTCGGAAATGGAACGTATGCGCGCAGGCGACTCGCAAACATTTTAGGGGTATCGGACTCCCCCAATTTGCCATTATTTTTGTCGGCCAAGTTGATTTCCGTGATTTAGACATAAAAATCAAACAGTATTCGTAAAATTAGATTTACCTACATGTATCAGGAAACATAGCTACGTCAGATCGACATGTTTGTGAGTCGCCTGCGCGCATACGTGCCATTTCCGAGAAAAGTCGTAGAGGAAAAGTTGTAGAACTTGATGTAAGCAAGCCACTCACAAATGGGGTTTACATGTATAACTGAAAAAAAAGGTCCTTGGATGGTTGACTATAACGTAGTGCTGATAAAAACACGTACAATCAGTATGATGTAAAATGTAAAATGCACCCGAATACTGCAGAGCTCCAAGACTTGAACGCTCAAAACCACATGCGCGCTATAAATAATTTATTATTCAAGGCAATAGTATCAGATTCCCTCCATCTTTTTACCCCCACATCACAAACTCGACCAAGTGTTGTTTTTTTAATTTTTGAATACTTGTGAACACGCTCACGTGAAATAAAGCCGATTGCTGCAGTGCTAACCTTTCGTTCATCCCTTAAAAACATGTTGGACGAATGACTTATCAATAGGTCACGCGCACATGGCAAATACAGCCCATGACTTATTAATGAGTCATGAGCAGCGAACGTGTTAATTGAATGAGACACGAATTCTTTAAGAAATTTTTGTAGACATCTTAAAAACGTCCCTATAAGAACATCTTAGGGACGAACAACATTCACGACGTTTTTTAGACGTTTTAAGGCATCTCAAAGATATCTTAAAGGCGTCCTATGTTCAAAGCCTATAACGTCTCTCAAACATCATGACATTTTTCCAAGAAATTCTAAAGACGTCTTCAGACATTTGGACGCAATGCAGACCTAGAAAAGACGTCTTTGAGAGTTTGCCCACGGACGATTCGACCTTGAACAAAGTTCAAACAAACTATTAAATGGAAATCCTAAAAATTGCTATTGCAAGATAAATTGTGCAACGTGCCTCACATTTGTTAATGCCCTCGTTTCCCCCTTATAAATCACCATCAAACACACAGGCCAAAACTTCCTCTGATAAATGTTCGACAATAAATCAAAAACAATAAATCCCGACCCAGTTATCGGAGAATTGTTGTTCAGGACTTTTCATTTTCCAGACACGATGTACCGTCAGGGACTGATCCTGCTCTGCATCGTCGGAATAAGGGCGATAAATCCGTTAGAAAACGAAATCGCTCATCCCGAGACCAAAAGCCACCCGAACCCGAAATTGCCCGCCAGCGAAATGCCACGTAAAGATTTCTATTTTTATTTATTTCTTTTGATAGTAATCGGCAATTTCTAGTTGAACTTGATATATTCAAACTTATTAATGTGTCGTCTAAAGACCAAGGAGTATCTTTGGTGGAAGGACCGATTGTCAAATATCCTGCTTATAAGTTTCGCTTGCCTTATGGAAACGTACCTTTGAGCAACTCCAATATTGTAACCGAAACCATGAATAATACTAAAGGATTCACTGCAATATTTTTATATAGGTAAATATTTTAACTACGCCCATGATAAATAAGGCGGGGCCTCATAAGCGTAGTACATAATTTTTTTTTTTACAGGCAACAAAAAAACAATTTGGGCACGTTGTTATCGGTGAATTCGCCAGGACGATTGACCCCCTGGTTTCAACTGACGTCGAATTCGAAAACCGGAATTTTAACCCTCAAATACCGGCTGAGGAGCTCGAACAAATTGAATCAAATCGACTGGGGATTGCCGAGGCATCACAGGAAATCGCCGTTGGCCGGTACGTTTTATTTGCTAATTGCATAGTGGAGCTTATGTCGGCCAATTTTGTACGTAATTGAGATAGAACATCTTGATAATACATCAATTGATTAATTATATTCAATGTTGATAATTTGAAGTCTATTAATTTGAGGATATTACAGGGGGGGATATTAAAGTGAGCCAGATTAGGTTAGTTTGGCTTAGTTTTGGCAGCGCATTGTGTAAGATACGGTTTTTCGAAGGAATTGCCTATAAAAATATAGAACCAAATATAGGGCATCCCATTTGAAAAAAGCGTGCAACATTACACATTTCTGACATTAAATTTTTGTTTCTGACCATGGATTCTAAAAATTTAGCCAATACTGTACAACTTTTGTATTTACACCTTTCATCTACTTCTAAAGGTGAAGGCTGTAGGTAGGGTGTCACTATATTATCCACTTTTTGTCAATTTGCCTTTCAACAAAAATTAGTAATGTTACTTCACCAAACTAGTAACATAATGTGACAAGTTATTCAAGTACAAATGTGTGGATTGCTGCGGAACTTATGAGTGGACCTCTGCCGGAAGAACGCAGCGAGTTCCGCAGTCATCTATTCATCAATATGTTGTATAATTACGATACTAACTCACTCAAATGTGCGTTATTCTCATGAGTTTAAAAATCACACGTTTCAGGTGAATGTCTTATTTGAACAGTTCAACAGTATATTGGTGAGTAGATGGCTGCGGAACTCGCTGCGCTCGTCCCGCAGAGGTCCACCCATAAGTTCCGTAACAATCCACTTATTTGTACTTGAACAATAACTTATTATATAAAGTCAGAATTTGTAAGATTATCCACTTTTTGTCAATTTGCTTTTCAACAGGAATTAGTAATGTTACTTTACCAAATTAGTAACATGTGTGTGACAAGTTATTCCAGTAAAAACGTGTGAATTGTTACGGAACTTATGGGTGGACCTCGCTGCGCTCGTCCCGCAGCCATCTACTCACCAATATACTGTTGAACTGTTCAAATAAGACATTCACCTGAAACGTGTGATTTTTAAACTCATGAGAATAACGCACATTTGAGTGAGTTAGTATCGTAATTAAACAACATATTGATGAATAGATGATTGCGGAACTCGCTGCGTTCTTCCCGCAGAGGTCCACTCATAAGTTCCGCAGCAATCCACACATTTGTACTTGAATAACTTGTCACATTATGTTACTAGTTTGGTGAAGTAACATTACTAATTTTTGTTGAAAGGCAAATTGACAAAAAGTGGATAATATAGTGACACCCTACCTACAGCCTTCACCTTTAGAAGTAGATGAAAGGTGTAAATACAAAAGTTATACAGTTTTGGCTGAATTTTTAGAAACCATGGTCAGAAATAAAATTTGAATGTCAGAAATGTGAAATTTTGCATGCTTCTAGCTTTTTTCAAATGGGATAGCCTATATTACATACATTCAATATTCTTGAAGAGCACAATGCCCCGATCTATATTTGATTATTTTAAAAAGGGGGAGGCAGTTGCCCCCTTCCCCCCACTGTATCCGCCACTGGGATATTATCTTGATATGATGAGGTATAATATTTCTAGCTTGGATATGGCTTTCTGTATCCATGGACTTTCAAGAAGGCCTGATTCGCCTGGATTTAGATTGCACACCCAGTTCCTTTGAGGGTATTCCAAGCAAAAAAGGACTTCATTCTACAATAGGCATGCCAAAAGAAGCTTTGGTCTATTTCCGACAAGAGCCTGGTAGAAAGAAGAAGTTTTTAGTAAGGATTTTGCTTTTATTTCATTTCACTTGTTATAACAAGTTGACATTTTTAGGGCTCAATGCAAGTGGCTAAAATTCTACCGTACGTCAGTCACGAACGGCTATGGAACTGTTTGGAAATATCCGCGAAGCTGTCGCCGGAATTTCAAAAACCACTGTTGTAAACTTATGATGCCAAAATAAACTACGCCTATGGTTTTTTTGGCTCCGCCCACTGCTCATTGATGGATCATAAAAGACAGAGGCGTAGTTAAAAGTCTACAGAATTATTTTTTCATTTGATTACTTACATTATAATATCTTAATTGTTAAAACAACCAAAGCAAAATTATTATTAGGACATTGGCAATTAAAAAATCGCACTGTATACCTATAATACTTAGAATGTTTTAGATTGTTTTTTTTTTCTATATTTCACATAAAAACAATAATATTTTAACTCTTCTAATAATCTTAAGATTTTTAACTTAGAATGATTGAAAATGACTGTGACTAAAATGCTGTTGTAGGCAGAAGTAATATAAAAAAAAAATTGCTACGCTCATGATTTTAAAGCTCCACCCTCTGGGAATAGAACCAAATGAGCTTTGAATTAGAGATCTACACTCATGGTTTTTAAGCTCCACCCAAGAAAATTCAAATGTTGATATTACTAAAACCTACAAATTGATTCGGAAATGTGATATTATTAACGAAAAAAAAAAACAAGGCAGTTTAAATAATTGAAAACTAGTGTTTGTATGATTATTTATAAGAATTGCAATAAAATTATTGTACTTATTTACATTTTTGTGTCTTAATTACTTAGGCAAAACAATTTCTATATACAAAATAATAAATTAATAAACTAATTATTTGAACTAATCTTCACAATGTCGCTGGTGGGTGTAATCGGTGTGGTGCTCGAAATCGAAACCGTCGAAACCTGAAATTAATTAAACAAACGTTTCTTTAACACTTTTCCTTAAAGGCAAAACAATACAAAATAAAAAATACAGGATGAGCATTTTCCCACGATACTGAAACCTTAATATAAACTTCTAAGTGACCCCATCGCGATTTTCTCTTTCGTAGTCTTTGCATGTTCCATCGTCAGTAATTAAAAAACAATTTATTACCTGAGGTGGTTTTTATATTAGAGTTTTGGGATTTATTAGCACCTTTTGTATGTTGATCAGATTGTCAAAGTCCTTTTTTGCCTATAGTAGTCTTAAGCTGATGACTGTGTACACCGTAAATAAATCCAAAGCTTCTGGTTCAAAGGTAGGTAACTATACTGAACAATAGTTGACTTTTAAGCAAGTTTTGATATTGGTTCTTAAAGCTCTAGGGTTGGGTTTTTGGAGCTCTCCAGTCTAAATTGATTCTGTAGACTAGCTAAGTGGATCCCATTCATTGTCTGTTTTTTTAGAAAATCTTCAACACTTAATACTAGAAATATCAGAAAATGCTGCTGAAAAGCAATAACTAGAAATACTGTTATTGGTAGAAGATTGTCCTGACTAGATTCTTGATGAAAATGACTGTGACTGAAATGCTGATGTAGGCAGAAGTAAAATAAACATTTAAAAAAAAAATTCTAAGTACCTACGCTCGTGGTTTTTGAGCTCCACCTTCTCAATAGAACCACTGTGCTCATGTTTTTTGAGCTCCACCCTGTGGCAAATACATCCAATGGAATTCAAGGTAGCTTTTCAGGATGACAATGTATTTTTCTAGTTAATGAGTTAGTTTGCGTTTCAGTCAAATTACAGTGGGTGAAATTGTTTTCTATTACCGGCTCTCGTGAAAGATTTTCTATATTAAGAGCAGGGGATAATGAAATGTTGATCACTCTGTATCTTTACCCAGTGGTAGAATTGTTTTCGATTACCAGCTTTCGTGAAACATTTCCTACAAGTATTTTTGTTGAGTCAAAATATAGTAGGGTAAATTGTTTTCTATTACCGGCTCTCGTCAAAGATTTTCTACATTTAGAGCCAGGGAAAATCAAATATGATCACTCTGTATCTTTACACAGTGGTGGAATTATTTTCGATTACCGACTCTCGTGAAAGTATTTCTATATTAAGAGCAGGGGATAATGAAATGTTGATCACTCTGTATCTTTACCCAGTGGTAGAATTGTTTTCAATTACCAGCTTTCGTGAAACATTTCCTACAAGTATTTTTGTTGAGTCAAAGTACAGTGGGTGAAATTGTTTTCTATTACCGGCTCTCGTGAAAGATTTTCTACATTTAGAGCCAAAGATAATGAAATATTGATCACTCTGTATCTTTACACAGTGGTGGAATTGTTTTCGATAAACAGCTTTCGTGGAAGTTTTCCTACAAGAGCCGAGAATAATAAAACATTGATCACTCTGTATCTTTATACAGTGGCTTATTTTTGTTGAGTCAAATTACAGTGGGTAAAATTGTTTTCTATTACCGGCTCTCGTGAAAGATTTTCTATATTAAGAGCAGGGGATAATGAAATGTTGATCACCCTGTATCTTTACCCAGTGGTAGAATTGTTTTCGATTACCAGCTTTCGTGAAACATTTCCTACAAGTAATTTGGTTGAGTCAAAGTACAGTGGGTGAAATTGTTTTCTATTACCGGCTCTCGTAAAAGATTTTCTACATTTAGAGCCAGGGAAAATCAAATATTGATCACTCTGTATCTTCACACAGTGGTGGAATTGTTTTCGATTACCAGCTTTCGTCGAAGGTTTCCCACAAGAGCCGGGAATAATAACATATTTATCACTCTGTATCTTTATACAGTGGCTTATTTTTGATCAGTCAAATTACAGTAGGTGAAATTGTTTTCTATTACCGGCTCTCGTGAAAGTATTTCTATATTAAGAGCAGGGGATAATGAAATGTTGATCACCCTGTATCTTTACCCAGTGGTAGAATTGTTTTCGATTACCAGCTTTCGTGAAACATTTCCTACAAGTATTTTTGTTGAGTCAAAGTACAGTGGGTGAAATTGTTTTCTATTACCGGCTCTCGTAAAAGATTTTCTACATTAAGAGCCAGGGAAAATCAAATATTGATCACTCTGTATCTTCACACAGTGGTGGAATTGTTTTCTATTACCAGCTTTCATGGAAGGTTTCCTACAAAAGCCGGGAATAATAAAATATTGATTACTCTGTATCTTTATACAGTGGCTTATTTTTGTTGAGTCAAATTACAGTGGGTAAAATTGTTTTCTATTACCGGCTCTCGTGAAAGTATTTCTATATTAAGAGCAGAGGATAATGAAATGTTGGTCACCCTGTATCTTTAGACAGTGGTAGAATTGTTTTCGATTACCAGCTTTCGTGAAACATTTCTACAAGTATTTTTGTTGAGTTTAAGTACAGTGGGTGAAAATGTGTTCTATTAGCGGCTCTCGTAAAAGATTTTCTACATTTAGAGCCAAAGATAATGAAATATTGACATATTTTCTACATTTAGAGCCAGGGAAAATCAAATATTGATCACTCTGTATCTTCACACAGTGGGTAAAATTGTTTCCTATTACCGTTTTTCGTGAAAGATTTTCTACATTAACAACCAGGGATAATCAAATATTGATCACTCTGTATCTTTACACAGTGGTGGAATTATTTTCGATTACCAGCTTTCGTGAAAGATTTCCTACAAGAGCCAAGAATAATCAAATATTGATCACTCTGTATCTTTATACAGTGGCTTTTCGGAGATGAAAGAACCAGTTTGGCTGCAATTGTGTCTAGGTGACTCAGATTGATTAGATTTGTCTCATAGTTGATTATAATTTGAAATAATACGATGATCATTATTGAAACAATTCCAAAATAAAGTTCATAATTACCTTTGAATGTCCACTAATAGTTTCTACAGCGGAACTTCCCAAAGTATAAGGAGCCAAATCCATCAAACCAAAAAGCGGATGCCTGGAAGTCGGCCTTGGTGTAGTTGTAGTTGCCAAATCATTGACTGCAATTAAAAAAAAAATATAATATATTTACCACCATCAACTGTTAATACTTACTCAAATGAGGCCACTCGCTGTAAACCACCTTAAGAGGCTTCAACTCCCTAAAACTTTTCTCGCTAGGTGGCTCGATCCGTACACTTATCTTAGTCATGGTATTAGCATTGTTGACTTGTCCGTTTTGGATTCTAGGAGCCATACTGAAACCAGTAGCAGGAGTACTTGTGACTGGCAAATGATAACTTTGAGGAGTTACTACGTAAACTTTCTCATGCGTCGAATTTGATAAAAGGACTTTGTTGTCCTGCCAAGAAGGTGTTGGAGGTTTGCGCACAACAAAACGAACACTAGGTTTTGTACTGGATTCTTTCACAATCAAATTATTTGCAATAAAGTCCCTGTTTTCACTGCTAGAAGCCACATGGTCCAAATCAGGCAAGGGTGTTGTAGTGAAATATTCACCAGGAATATGCTTCACATGTGCCAGTTTTGTTGTGGTGTATTTGAACTTGTTGGAGTAGGCTTGATGAGTCCAATCGTCGATATTTTTTTGCAAATTGTATCCGTTTTTCACAAGGAAGTCTTTTATATTGTAAACCTCAGTGCTAGATTGAGTTGATCCAATTGCAGGAGGCACAAAAACAGGAGCCAAAGTGGAATAATCTCTATTATAGATTGCAGTAGGGGGATTCATATATGGAACAATTATTTGAAGCTTATTTTTAGTTTTGATGTAACTTTGGTTCACTGGGCTTAACCATGTTGAAGGTTGCGATGGCGGTACCATAACAGTTGGTAAAGTGTTGTAGTAATTCACCGAAGGCTGTACTACATTTAGGTTCATTTGTGTATTTTGTGGATTAATAAAGCCCTTTTTGATACCTACAATTTGAGCTTTAGGATCCTCTATAATATTTTGCTCTAAAATAAGCTTCTTTATTAGGTTATCAGTCAAATCAATTTCAGGCTTATCATCATAATATGTGGTGGTGTTGATATTAGTTGCACTCGTATGAGTATCATCAACAACAATAGGATTTTCACTTAGTAATCGGCTTGAATCTTCAACTGAATCTTGCACATGCCTGTTGATAGCCTCATGATCTTTGATGTCTAAATCCAAAATGGGCGATTGAATGAGATTAATGGGATGTTCAATTGAAGCTGTATAATCAGCAATTCTTAAGCTTGGGACAACTTGGACATCAGTTAGCAAATTCTCCTCGCTAGCTAAAGTAATGGGCTCGGCAAAGTTGTTTCGTAAAGGTCTTCCGTAGCTATCGCTAGGTAATACTGGAGGTAGATTGTTTTCCAATGGTAAATTGTGTATGCCAGGAGGTTGAAAGTGTTGAGAAACTGGCCTCAAATGAGTTGTATGCCTATTATAATTTCTTGGTAATGGTGGAGGTGATATTATATTACTTAATCCAAATGATTGCTGATGATAAAATCCTGGTCCTGTTGGAATTCTTCCACTTGGAAATGGTGGCGGTAGCATAAAATCAACGACTTGTCCTGCAGGAGGTAAGTCGAATAAACCTTGCGGAGCTCCGTATTGGTCTATAGGAGGATGGTGCAAGTTGAAATGTTTATTGGAAAGTTGGGGTTTTTCTTTAAAGTGTGGAAAATTCATGCTTCGGCCTACTATTGGTATCCAAGGCTCGTTGTTGCAGTCGTAACAGCTTCTGGCATGGCCTCTGGTTGGAGGTAGGTATTTGAGGCCGACATATTCGGAAGCTGAAGCTTTTAAATCTTGAGACTTATATGGTTGAGATTTTTGAAGTTGTATTTTATTTGTATCTTGAGCAATGATTATTATAATATAGAAGTAGAAGACTAATAGAATTGAAACCTGAAATAAAGAAGCATTATTATTATTTATCTTCTCACGTTAGATCATTGTCGAAAAATATTTTAGTTAATGAAAAAAACGTTTTTGTGTTTAGCTATAAATTCCCTGAAGGCGCTTCGTGCACCGTGGGTAAAACAAGATGAAGATAAATGTAACTTTCTTCCGTTGAAGATGGAAACAATATATGAACGGGGTCAAGAGCAAAGATAATACACTATGGTGTGGATTGAAAAAATTTAAAATTTCACCTTATGGTATTGTAAAATTGTCAAGTCTGTAAAGCGTAAACGATTACCTCACTTAAAGTCCTTTTTCTTTCATTTACAAAGAATTCAAGGCACTACCTATACAAATTGGCGGAAATTGCCTATTAAAACAATTAAACATCCAAGGAGAGCTCTTTTTATTGGATTTCTTTTTAAAACTATTATCTACCTAAATAAAGAACACGCAATAGTATGTTTTAATGTGTTAATAATGCATCTGACAATTATATGATTCAAATACAATTATTCTTCGGTTCTTAAAGTGATTGTTCTTCTAGCTCATTTCCATATTCCACAACAATTCCGAAAGCGACAGTAGTTGTACGTGTGCAGTTAAAAAAAGGAAATTTTCTATTTTGTGGGTTACCAGACTTACTGAATCTGAATATAAAACCGATAGTTCTTGTCGTTATGAATATGTAATTGCAATTTCGTTTAATGGCATTTATCAGGAGTGAAACCTTAAATTACAATATTTAACCAATAGAATACGTGCAAAAATTGTATGAGATACCTAATCAGTTATTAGAGAACAAATTTCTGCATTTTACTGTTACAGTATTATTAAATTAATAGCTGTTTTTATGTTGCTTAAACAACATATGATTATCGTTATTTGATCTATTAAACAGGAAGAAACGTTTACAGATTTTAACAAATTTGTATCAATTTTTATAAGAGAATCTTCCTTTTGCACACCCTGTATCTGTGGTTTAACAGTAATCCAACATATTTTGCTGCCTAATTGAAGTCATCAGGCGTTAAATTATAATTATTTGTTTCATCAGCTTTATTAGGTTAACACTCAGGTATTAGTTCAGATAAGGATAATTGGATTTTTTTTCTTGTAAATGAAATTGATATATTATTATTGTAGACCGAAACAATATAGAGTAAATCTTATTTAAAAATTGAATTTGAAATAATTTCTTGTTTTGTTTCTAGGGTTTCTGAGAACTGAAATCAAAGTAGGTGTTTCAAGTATTTTGATCCTTTACAGTTGAAGCTCTAGCAGCTTTAGACCTTTTTTCTTAAAATTGTATGTACATCAATATTCGAATATTCCAATAATTATTGTACTTTTAAAGTTTCTTAAACTTCATTTAGGGAATTCATTCTAATCATAAGTAGAATGTATAGAAGAATCAGTGAAACTTACCATGCAATAGGAACTTTGTTAAGAAATTCTACGAAATTTGAAAGTTTTACAGGTTTTTGGTTACTATAAATATACCAAAAAATCAACTCAACAAATTTTTAAAATTTTGACACGTGCAATCGACAAAGCAAAGCTAAATTAGTCGAAGGAACCTCTCATCTGATTTCCGAATGGCAAATTTAAATGTAGAAAAATTCAAAAGAAAATATCAATTTTAGCTCTTGAAACTTTTTGAATTCTTGACAAGGTTAAGAAAAACTGTCCATATCTTAATTCAAATTTAAGCAAACAACAATGAAATATATATCGTTGGAGAGAACATTAAATTCTTTATAAAACTGTGCTAAATTGGTCCTGATAGCTTGAATAATTTTCGAGAAATTAAGCCTCAAAGTTGAACTTTAGTCGAAATTTTGGAAGTTTTCTTAATAATTATAAGCCTGGAAATAATTTTTCAGTACACCATTATTTGGAGCCTAATAAAAGCTACAATTACTGAAAATTTTGAATAAATATCTTTCACGAATTTCGAAAAAACGAGGATTGAGTATTTGCATACAAAATCCAACCCTTTGAAGAAAATACTAAAAATTCAAAATTTTTATTTTTCAAATATTTCAAATTTTCATCGATAAAGCGAGTCCAATTTAGTCAAAAAAAAATTCTTACATGATTTCCAAATGGCAAATTCATAGGGAAAAATATCCATTTTGGCTCTGGAATTTTCTTTCATAAACCTAGGAGCACCTAATTTTTAATTAGAGGCCCTAATTAGCACCTAAAAAGCACCTAATTATTATATAGTTCCCGAAGTTTTTTTCCACCTTGGGACTGCTAGGTTTATAGACCTCAAGTTATTCCATGGGAATTCTGCGAAAATGTTAGTCATTTCCAAAGAAATTCCTTAAAATTTCACCAAAAGATTTTATGGAATTCCTCGAAATTCCATTCAAGTGACAAATTTGAATGAAAAAACGTAAATTCCTAGAAATTTCACTATAAGATTTCATACCTAATACTTTTCCATATTTCACCATCAGATTTCATGGAATTCCACCAAAAAATTCAATGGAATTCTCGGACAAAAATTCCTCGGAATTACACTAGGAAATTTCATGAAATTCATAAGAATTCCACTAAAATTTCAAGTTATTCTATAGGAATTTCGCGAAAATTTTAGGTAATTCTCTCGGTAATTCCATAAAAATTCCTCAACATTTCACCAGAAGATTTTTTTTCGAAATTTCATTTATTTCCATAAGAATTTTTCGGAATTTCACTGAAATTTCCTTTCAATAGTCAGGAATTCCTGGGAATATTAATGAAACTTCAAGTACCTAATTTCTTGAAAACTCACCGAAATTCCTCCGAAATATATTGAAATTCCATGTCATTACATGGAAATTTTTCCGAATTTCACCGAAGTTCCAAGTTTTTAGCTGGAAATTCTTCGGAATTCCACTTGTGAAATTTTCTGTAATTTTACTAAAATTCCATGTTTTTAACTGGGAATTCCATATGAAACGAATTAGGATTTTTCGGAATCTCACTGAAATTTCATATGAAATGACAAGAGTTGTTCATAATTCCACTTAAATTTCATGTAACTGTGCTAAATTGGTTCTGATAACTCAAATACTTTTTGAGAAATTGAGCACCAAAGTGGAACTTTAGTCGAAATTTTGTTAAAAATTTCAAACTCAATTTTCTCAATAACTATTAACCTGGAAATATTTTCCAATAAACATTTTTTGAAGTTTCATGGGAGCTACAATTCCTGAAAATTTTGATTAAATATCTCTCACGAATTCCGAAATATCGAGGTTTGAGAATTTTTATACAAAAATCAATACTTTGAAAAAAATGCCAAAAATTCAAAATTTTCATTTTATAAATTTTCCAAATTTTGACCGCTCCAATCGATAGATCGGGTCCAAATTACTCCAAAATAACTCTAACATAATTTCCAAATGACAATTGCAAAGTGCAAAAAAATCCGAAAGAAAAACTCAGTTTTGGCTGTGGAATTTTTTTCAAATCCTGACAAGGGTATGATAAAGTGCTCATATCTTAATTAAAATTTAAGCAAATGAAAATAAATTATACATCATTCGAAAGAGCATTATATTCTCTATAAGTGCATCTATCTTAAATTGGTTTCGAAAGCTCAAATACTTTTTGAGCAATTGAGCACCAAAGTGGAACTTTGGTCTAAATTTTGTTAAAAATTTCAAACTCAATTTTCTCAATAACTATTAACCTGGAAATATTTTCCAATACAAATTTTTTGAAGTTTCATGGGAGCTACAATTCCTGAAAATTTTGATTGAATATCTCTCACAAAAATGTTCAACCTGACGTCGGCATGCAACGTCCGTAGAACTTCCTGACGACCAAAATTCGACTAAAATGGGGAATGAAATTTGAGTCGATTCGACGTCGGAATCCGACTTTGAGTCCTTAAGCGGACTTAAACACTACCTAATTTGACGTTGGAAATGCTATACCCATTTCCGACTTGAAAAGTCGGGAAGATCTAATTATTTATACCTAAACTGTACTATTTAAAAAATGGTCTAAAGATTTTACCCTATTATCTACCAAATTTTGGAAACATAATAACCCAAAATGACGTCAACTTTTTTATTTTGTTGTAATATAATCTAGGTTCTTGCAACTTTTTGGTGCATTTCAGAAGTTCCTCTGCTCAAAATTCATAAACGCAGGTGACTTTATTGATAAAAATAACTAAAGTAGGACTAAAAACACAACCGCCTTTTCCAAAATTAACAATTTTTGTTTAATTTTCCAATTTTAATTTTTTGTTTATTATGGGTTCAGAGATACTTGTGAAGATCCTATATAATGAAAAATTATGAAAAACACTTATGAAGGACGAATCTTATACAATATCCAGCGAACCCAATAATGCCTGAAACGCTCGAAACAGCTGATGTCGAAAGCGACGAAAATTGCACCAATATTGCACGAAAACTGACTATGCCCAATCTTTGGTCAGATAAATAATCCCTAGTTTTCACCTGCGCCGACCTTTAGTCGCAATAGGTAGATTTTTTATACGAAGTCTGTTCATGAGAATAATCACCTTTTACGGACGACGGGTAAAGCTTAATTTGATTTATAGATATGTAAATAAAGTTTCTATTGATCAATACTAACAGTAATGTCGATTACGACCCATAGAAAGGAGTTTTCAGTAAATCTCGCGTTGATATGGAACTCAGGCTTTAATTGTGTCAAATATTAAATGGTTTTCGTTTTCTCTCCATTATTTTTAATCACGTATGGGTATTTACCTAATTCACAAGTAAGTTGAAACTAAAATTTACGAAAATTAAAATAACTTTTAAAAAAAGTTAGGTTATGTATAAATTGTTAGAGTTTAATCAATTCTGGTAGATTTACCGACGTCGAACTAAAGTTGGCAGAAAACTTAGAGCCGTCTATTTGAATTCAGTCGAATGACAACGTTCGACCAACGTTGCCTACTTTACCTAAGCTTACCTAGCCATACTAGGTCATAAGGCGACGTTGTAGCGACGTTGAAAGATAACTTTCAATATTTTAGTCGGGAAAGGACGTCATGCCAACGTTGGCAAATTACTCGTAAGCTACTTTAATTTTCGTAGGCGGCTTGCGTGGTCGAAGCATCGTGGTGCCGACGATGTA